TATGTATGTGTATGTATATGTATGTGTATGTATATGTATGTGTATGTATGTATGTATATGTATGTATATACTTTTTTTTTTTTTTTTTTTTTGAGGCCGTCTTTCTTGTGAGGTGTGAAGGCAATGTGATGTGAATGGTGTCAAAAAAAAATCTTCATTGTACAATTAGGATAAATAATTGCATCACTTTGGAAAGATGTGATCAGATAAGTGGTTTAATCTGATATTGGTGCACCTCATGGTGCCTTGTGGAGATTCCTGGTAAAGAAATATGAAGTGAATGACAATGAACTTAGTAAATCTTCTACTTTATGTTGAAAAGCACAATCACTTATTGAATAACACGGCAAAGATGGCCTAATACACCAAGGCATATTTTGTACAGATGACTTTCCCTGACCGTGTGTCTGTGCGGTGTGTGTATTTGGGTTTTATGATTCTGTAATTGGTTGAAAATGAGACCAACTTTTTTTTTTTTCTAGCGTGTTTCCTTTTCTTTCTGGTAATCACTTGAAATAGCTGTTCATTGTTCACGCAATGTTTGCCTAATGGGGAAAAAAATAAAAGGCTGAATTTTCAGTTTTTCTCATCGTGGATAAAAAAGGTGACACTTTATTTTACAGGTCCCATTTTTAAAAATAATGTAAATATTAACTTGTATCAAACTGTGAATTCCTATGGAGGTTTCCTGGGACTACAAATTCAAATTGAGACCGTGTTCAAAGGGGTACACTCCTAGTTCATTCCATCGTCTATCTTAAGGGCAGGAGGTTTACTGAGAATACAAAAATGTAAAAATATGTCTACGGACAAGCATACAATTTGCATGTCTGTCAGTTTCTTTAGTTATCCCTTATTTTAGCAGTTCAGTCAAGGAAATTATTCTGAAAGTCAACAGCTATATATGAACCCAACAAACTAAACTTAACTCTGAGAGCATTACCTATAGTTAATGGGCTATGAAATTAGTTATTACCAGGAACAATTTGAGGAAGTTACAGGACCGGTCAAATAAAGCATCATCAAGACAACTAGTTAGACAAAAGGCTAATTCCAGTCAGAATATCAGTGAGTGATGTGACGGCTGTTAAAAGTAGTCGCATCATGGCATGTTTAAGGTCTTTTGAGCTGCTGAACCCTGAACAAAAGAGAAGCTGATCACAGATCTGTGGTATTTTCCGGACACACGTCATATGACTGAACGCTGTGCTTTCATTGGCCAGCTTCCTTTCCCGTGTTTATTTCCGGAAGTAAGTTGTTGTCAGTGTCAGACTTTCCATAAGGACTATTTGCTTAAACCTCAAATCCACCGCACCGGAACCACAGGTAAACAGCAAAACGTCTACTTTATTTAAACTAATTAAATTTTTGTTTTTCGTGAAGTACAACTAGTCAGTTGTCACATCGATTCAATTCGTCATGTTTACGTTTCCACAATGATGTAGCCAGTGTTAGCCGTTAGCTGTTGCTTACGTAATAGACGTTTGTTTACAACAGACGGACAATTAATTGTCAAAAACACCATTTGTAGCAACTAAAAGTAACGTCAGAGTCTTAGTATCCTTTGTTTCAGCTAGGTAACTTTGGGAAGGGTCAGCTAGTGCCTCGTGAGAGTGCTAATACAGCCGCTAGCGAGTTGTAGCGATAAGATGACGTTAGCTAAGACGACACATAAGCTAGCTAATGCTGCCTACTTAATAAACAATTCACTAAAATGTATTAACTTTCAGGGAGGCCATCCATTCCGCTGTATGCAAAAATGTGTTAATACCGGAAGTACAACTCATTCATTAACCGCTTGTCGTCCTGTGTTTTTCAACCTTTCTTAAGGTGTGTCCACGTCCACAGGATGGCACATTGGTTTCACAGAAACCCACTGAAGGCAACAGCGCCCGTGTCCTTTAATTACTATGGAGTGGCAGGGAGCCCCGCTGCCAATAAGATATGCAAGTACGTCTTATCTCCATTTAATATGTCGGGAACAGTGTTGTCAAATTAGACTGTGACTGTGCCCATGATCGCGGACAGAAATGCTGTAGTGTAATTCTTTGGTCTTGTCACCTTACACTCTACCGATGATGTAATGTCCTATGGCATGCTACTGTTACTGCCATTTGATCACAGTCACCACTGTGGCCTTACAACAGGGCAGTGCCTTGGTGGATATAATTACACTTGAGTGTCGTAATGATCAGCATATTTTTAGAGCATCAATTGATCGCTACATGTTTGACACATTCAGTGACCTGAGGACAAACAGGGCGAGACTGCTGGAGATGTTCACTGATGTCACCTGCAACCCCGAGATGATGAAAAATACCACGGATGCATACTTCTCCCTCCTCCAAGGTGTGTTTACAGTCCCAAACAAATCGATCATATCTATTCTTCTCTATGTCTTATTTGGGTGTCAACCCCTTAAAATGCAATGTTGCCTGCCAATGCAAACTCTTGCTGTCATGTCACACATAGTGTAAGTCAACATAACTTTACTTTAATTCTGGTAGAGATCCCAAAGTTCACTCAAGATACCAGTTCAATCAGGAGAGACAAGTGAATGATTGGTAGTTAACATTTATTATGACAGATGATGCATTAATGAGTTACACAGAAATTATTTGGCGTGGAGTCCAGACACTGGTGGTGATGGTGGCTGATGAGGATGATAGAATGATGAGTTGATGAATCTGCGAAGATTGGGTCGAGATGGGGAGGTGGAGGGATGCGTAACAGCAGCTTGAATGAACTGAAGGTAGAGAGACAATCATATTTAAAGAAAGACAGCAGCAAGATGATAGACTAACAATGTCGTTGTGCTATTGGCTAGAGAGACCAGCTGATCTAGACAGCTGATATGATTGACAGCCCCGAACCATAACAGCAAGGAAATAATGAGCCTGCATGAGGAGTGATGGCAGATATATGGTAAATAAGCTATGGGCTTAGGCATGCGAGAGTATAGTCTTCCTGTCTGAACTTCCGCTAGAGCTTCATATGGGACAGCCTTAATTGGAAAAACGTACATTTGTGTTATGTCCATTTAATTGAACGGTATCGGTGCTTATGATGCTGTCAGACGGAGTGGAATAAGGATTTTCCAACTTTTAAGGTACTTAAGTGGAAATTAAAGGGGAAAACTAGATGTTAAAGGATTAAAAGCCAGTTAAGTATGCTAACACTTTGCACAGTTAATGTTCAAGGTCTTTGCATGTTATTCCCTGAAAACACTAGTTGTTAATTATTATAAATTGTGTTTCTGTGTTTGCCTTCTATTATTACCTTTCGCGGGCAGACACCTTAATAAGTTCAATTTAGTTTTTAGCAAGATTGTTTGAACTTTCTTGTAAGACGACTTTGAGTCAATTGCCTGCATACATCATCGTTTGATTTTAAGTTTGAAAGAAGTGTGTTTTTTACGAAGCCTTAAAGCCTGTAAGTGTCTAGACCGGGGGGGTTACCCAGTCGTGGGTTGTAGTCATTCAGTCACACAATACAGCAGTGTTGTTGCAGACACACCTGGCGGAGACCTTTCAGGATTTTTCTTTCATTTGGCTTTACACCTAACCAACTGCTTCTGTTCTTTTAAAATACTGGTTTATGATACAATAGGCTTCATCTCATCCTTGGATGGAACTACTCAGGAGAACAAGATGAGGTTCATCCAGAACTTCAAGTGGACTGACACCTTACAAGGAAACACACCAAGGTAAAAACCAAGTTATTACTCCCCGTCTCACTTCATGTAGTGTTCACGGTCGCATGGTGTTGGTGAGTGGATGGGTTGCAGTTTTAAAGAGGGGCAAAGTAAACAGTTTGATGTGCTTTCCAGGAGGCCTTAACCACTTCTTTGAAAGAGTATTTAGTCATATTTGAATTAAAGAGTGCTGCAAGTATTAAGCACTCCTGAATGAGGAGTTCTAGTAAGAACCGGTTAGTAGAAACGTGAAGAAACTTTCCAAAACGCAGTCTGTTATTTTCATTCTTACTCATGACTTGAGTGACATTCCAGTGAACACACCGATAAACATCTGACATCAGTGCTATCTCCTGCCTCACTGGGTCTAACCCTGTGTGAAGGTCCTCACAGCAATGAAGACTACCCAGCTCTGGTCTAGCTCATTACATTTTTACCACAAAGGCTCATATGACATACACAAGGGCTAATATTTAATTTTGTGTGCTTGTGCCTACACCAGCCTGTATAACCCACCGTCTCTCCATGCTCTCCTCCCAGTGCCCAGCAGGATGCGGTCTTTGAACTGGTCTCCATGGCCTTCAACGTAGCCCTCTGGTACACCAAGTTTGCCTCGAGACTAGCAGGGAAAGAAAAGTATGTGATATTAGTTGTTGTCTGTATTGTTGCACTCATTTCTGTGAAATCAGTCGTATATTGAATAATGCTTTGTTACTATGTTGAATATTTGCTGCTGTCATGTTTTCCTGTTCTATAGCGTGACGGAGGCTGAGGCGAAAGAAGTTCACCGGAGCCTGAAAAGTGCTGCTGGTATATTCAAAACCCTCAAGGTGAGGTGCATCTACAGACAAGTCAAGTCTCCCCAAAGACCCGTTCCTACTGGACACAAAACCCGTTAACATCCACTAACATCTGGCTGTTGCCAATAGTGGGAAAGGTCACAATCGGTTTTCTTTCCGGCGATAAATGACTCTGCAGTAGTCGCAGGTATTAATCGTCTTCACCACCGATCGGCAGCGATGGAAACACGACATCCTGATGCTGTGCTATGTGATGCGTTTAAGTTAATATATAATAAATAAAATAAACAGGGATCAGGACAAATATTATAATTTATTAACATGCAATTAATGAGATCTCCTTAAAACCACCAGACTCCAGTCAGCCAGCAGTAGTGTTACCTCGCTGAGCATCGAAACTCTGCAGTAACTAAATAAAACTCATCAAACCCGTCTTTGTTAGTCTTTCCACTGTTTCAACAATCAGCAACTCTTGTTTGGTAGAAATAAACCTTTAATTCACTGAGTTAGGTGTGAAAAGAGGCGCCAGTTATTGTGCACGTCAAAGCTAACAGACTCCATCGACAGAAACAGGAATTCTACCTCGCTGATCGTTGTAAAACTCTTTCCACTGTTCCAACAATCACCAACTCTGGTTTGTGGGTTTGAAAAAGAGAGACTGAAAACAAAAGAAGTAACCAATGTAACATTTTCCCTGTTTACTAACCCTGTTTTGCCGCTCATCTACTGGTAACTTGTACCTCCATGATGGGAGTCTATCGCCTATTTTTAGCGGGTTTTCCTTTGTTTATAAAACCTGCATATATGTGCAAATTTTGGCAGAAAAAGGTTATTATTAGTAGAAGTTATCATGGAGCTGTGGGACCTGGATGTTTTGGTGCTGTGATTGCAATTTACCCCCAGTCTTACTCTATATGTAATATATTGTAATATATCAAATTCTCTGGCATGTTTGCTTCAGGAGGTCCACATCCCTCGCCTCATCACCCCAGCCGAAAAGGGCCGAGACCTGGAGCCTCGAGCGATGGATGCATACATCATCCAGTGCCAAGCAGAGGCGCAAGAAGGTAAAGATTACTACAACAATGTGGCATGATGGTGGCAGTCTTTGTGTACTCTAAACTCACATCTAACGTCAAGACGGAAGCGATATATATGATCCTAAACATTCCATCATAACCTGAAACAATACAATCAGAAGATTAATGCTTGTACGAAGTAACAAAATATTTCTAAAACAAAATCATTCTTAGGCTGGGTGAGGTATAGGAACTCTAACCTGTGGCTTGTTTTACTTTAAATTAAAATAATATGACACCGATGATTCCTAATCGTATGCAAATTGTATTAACTTGTATCCAAATTGTGGTTCTTTACCATCTATTTCTTACAGTGACGATTGCCAGAGCGATTGAGCTGAAGCACAACGCCACTCTCATCGCAGCGTTGGCGTTTGAGACGGCGAACTTCTATCAAAAAGCTGGTCGGTATTGCAGCGCTCTTAAATGTTGTCAATTATGTCTCTTACTGTACTACGTGTTAGTTTTGTGTAAAACACAGTTTAATGGTCAGAGCGGTTCTGTTTTAAACTTACAGCACTGTACGCATGTTCACACTGTACGGCACTGCAACAGGATTTTGCCCAAGTAAGGGGCCGTTCACATGTCGCATGTCTAAAAACGCCAGCTGTGCCTTTTTATCGTCGCCTTCTTATCCGAGGTGCTTGGGGCGTTGTGCCTGCCGTTTACTAAGCAACCAAAACCTGCGTGTTGCGATGGCGCGGAAGTTGTGGTGATTTAGCAGGAAGCCTAACTGACTGTCCAGCACCGTGAATCCTCTCACAGTAGCCTTTCTGACCCGTTAGCAGAATGTTGTAACGTCTTGGGATGGAAAGGCTGAAGCAGGTAAAACAGTCCGAGGAACCGACAGGCGGCAACACCCGGGTCTAAAGAGCGAAGCCCGAGGAGAAGTGTCTTCAACCTGCGTTCTCTCTATTGGCCATCAGAGGGGGACTCCTCTTGTTGCAAAAAGAGGTGTGATTGTATAGAGGTCTATGAGAAAATGACCCTCCCTCCCTCCACATTTATTACCTCAGTAAACATTGTAAACATGAGGTTAGTGTCTCAATGGACAGTCTATGGCCACAGAGCGTAGATCTCTGGGTAACTCTGCACTGAAATGATTCACTACTCTTGATATTTCCCGTAGACTGATATTTTAACGGAAGAAAGAAGGATATCTGTGAGCTGTGATTGGTTCTTCGTTGTCACATGATATGCGGTGCAGCTTTCCAAAACTTGAACAAATTAATTTTTTTTATCTTGGAGGGCAGCCGCCACGCCCTCTGAAAAACAGGCGCTTGTGAACGCTTGTGACCCGCGGCGGTGGCGTTGACGACAATGGCTTCGAGAGCGCAACAAAAACACAACGGGGCATGTGAACAGCCCTTTATTTCACTAGAGTATCTAATGTTACCCTATCACAGGGAGCAGTGAGAGCATGATCAGCTGTGACATTGTAATAATATATAATAGAATATATCTGGTATCAGGGCTCACTCAATAAATACAATTATAATATATATATTTTTTTCATGTTACCTTTATTATCACTGGACAGACAGGAGATTTGCTTTTAAGTATATGTGGGTGAAAAACAAACAAACTACAGAGGTCCTATGGTAATCACATGAAACGTATATCACAGGTGAGTCACAGAGACGGTGCTAAAGCCATAACCATTCTGCAGCAGGCTATTAAAGGTCCGTATCTCTGTCCGCAGACCACACGTTGAACACCTTGGAGCCAGAGTGCAGTGGCAAATGGAGGAAATACTTTCAGCTGAAGCAGCACTTTTACATGGCTTATGTAAGCATATCCTAATGCAGTTCACCGTACTTTTGTTCATGTAAAGGAGCCTAACTGAGCAAACGTGCCTTTGATGGAACCCACTCTTCATCACAAAAGACAGGAGAAAGCAGGCTCCCAATTCCGCGTCTTACTGTTAACTGTGTTTACAGGCGTACTGCTACCATGGACAGACGCTGCTGGCCAGTGACAAGTGCGGTGAGGCTATACGATCTCTCCAGGAGGCGGAAAAGTGTACGTATGATTTTTATGCACTCATTGTGTCACAATGTCGGCTACGGTTCATGGGACGTATTCACAGTACACTATCTACAGTATGTAATCATGAATGCATGTATTGTTTGTTCAATTTGTCTTGGTTATGTCCGGTATGCAGTAATGTTGCTGTTAGGTCTTGGAGAACATATTATATGCTCACTTGGGTTCAGTAACATGTAGTTGAAGCATGATGTATTTTTTGCATATACAGTATGTCGTTACACAGGTGTTTCCTGTGTGTCTGTTTCCTGCGTGTTGAAATGAAGAGTCCACATTTCTTCCCACCCTTGCCGCACACTGTCTCCATTCCTTTTGTGTTTACGTGAAGTCGTCTCTGTTTAGGTTACTCGCATGCCGAGGCGCTGTGTAAAGAGTATCGTCAGACCAAAGGGCCCGGCACCACGGCCAAACCATCGGAGCAGCTGTTCTTCCTCAAACTGGGCGGTCTCATTAAGAACACACTGGAGAAGTGCCAGAGAGAAAATGGCTTCATGTGAGTGAGTCGGAGCGGACACGCATGCGCACATGCACACGGACTCATTTACTGTATACGTTGTTGTTGTTCTTACGTGGAAACCTCTACAAACTGTAATGTTTTAATGGAAGCATTTTGGGGCGGAGCATTTATTAATGGTGCACAGAGCATTTTATACCAAAGTTTACAGTTTTTAGTTGCATATACATATTGTATGCCCCCCAGTTGTTACATTTGTGGTGGCTTAACGGGTCTAGCTGCAACACAAGCCTCTGTGATATCTGTTCCACACTATGAAGAAATGTCCCGTCTTCAATCGTAACTTTGCACACATTTCCTCAGATACTTCCACAAGGTCCCAGTTGAGGCGCCCCAGCTGGAGTTGAAGGCGAGTTACGGCCTGGCTGAGCCAATCCCCTTCGAGCTGCCACCCCTCAGTGAGCAGTGCTCTTCTGAAGTCTATGCCACCTTTGACCTGACCAAGGGAGCCAAAAATGACAAGGTACTATGGCTCACCTCAGAGTTTATCGCAACATAGGCTGGATGACAGTACGCACAAACAGTTAGTGAAGTCTTTGTTCTGAGGAAAACCTATTTATGAATAGATAGATATAGATATATATCTATCTATCTATCTCTAGTTGCAGCACCGCCTTGTTTACAGCTGCTTCCCCATGAGATCACGTGAGAGAGATGCAACCCCATTTCAAAATCGGTCTGGATTTTAATAGTCCTGTAGTCTGAGGCCTGCTTTAGGAATCGCCCATGTCCACATTTGATGTATTTTTCGTAACGTCGGGAATTTGATTTCCGGGCAAAATAAAGAGAATGTGGTGTGAACCTCACTTTCACGTGTGCGTTGTTGAGAAAATAGACTTGCCGCATGTAGGGCTTCGATTCGGGGTTACGCCCGGGAGACGCGCCATAGACTCGAGCCTGCATGTAGCCGGTGCAGACGTCTGCACAGTTTAAAATGAGATTGTATCTAAAACAGGGGTCCCCAAACTTTTTCCTGTGAGGGCCACACAACTTTTCCCTTCTCTGATGGGGGCCGGGGTCAGTTTGTAACAGAAAAAGTGTGACGATCGCAGGGGTGCCTAAATGTAAACATTTATTGTTTTCCAGAAAGTTGCTGGTGAATTAGGCAGTGGACTTGTATCGGGGCGGTGAGACCCCGTTCTTCCATCTCCCGGTTCATGCGTCCTATTAGACCACGAGACACGCCCACCATACTAGGAGCCCCGTCAGTCGTGATGCTGGCAAGCTTTGACCAGTCTAGGTCCAACTCTTCCATGGTTTGGCATACTTTGCCGAAAATATCCTCCCCCGTTGTAGTCCCTTTGAGACTTTGGAGGGCTGCCAGCTCCTCGCACATCTCAAAGTTTGCGCTAACTCCACGAATAAAAATGAGCAGCTGCGCTGTGTCTTGCACATCCGTGCTCTCATCCAGTGCTAATGAAAAAAAGTCGAATTCTTTCGTCTTCTGCTGCAGCTGGGCATATACATTACCCCTGATTTCTTCAATGCGTCTGGTGATTGTACTCGCCGACAGACTCACAGCATTAAAGACATCTTTCTTCTCAGGACACACCTCTTCCGCGACAGCATTCAAACATTTCTTGACAAACTCTCCATCAGTGAAAGGTTTACCGCTGCTTGCTATCAGTTGAGCAACCCGAAAGCTGGCCCGAACGGATGACTGGTTCAGCTGAGCTTGGCGTACAAATGTATTCTGCTGAGCTAACAGTCCACTTTTTAGCTTTGAGAGTTTGTCTGCTCGCATTTGGCCTTGCAAGTTATCATACTTGTCTTTGTGACGGGATTCATAGTGTCGGCACAGATTGTATTCTTTGAATACCGCCACCGCCTCTTGACAGATGAGACAAACAGCCTTTTCTTTGCATTGAACAAAAAAATAATCGTTTGACCACTGCAGGTTAAATACCCTGCATTCTGAATCAATTTTTCTCTTACCTAACCTTTTCGCCATTATTCCGTTCTATTTGACAGGGGCTAGTCTAGGATTTGCGTGGCCAGACTGAAAAAGAAATCATAATGCGTCTCTGGTATTGTTCAGGGGGCCGGGCCAAATGTGGAGGCGGGCCGTATCCGGCCCGCGGGCCTTAGTTTGGGGACCACTGATCTAAAAGAAAAGCGCCGCTTGCGGTCTAGACAGCGGAGTTAGACATTTGCGGTTTGTATTTATTCAATGCACCTCTCTAGCTTGCAAGTGTGAGTGTGTTCAAGGCTGTGTTGCTTCACACTTGTGTTGTTGTTGTTCTTAACTCCAGGCCAAGCCCAAGGAGGAGGAGGTGAAACCAGTGAAGGAGCCAGATCTGAAGCCTCAGAAGGACACGGGCTGTGTCCTCTCCTAAACCATCCACTTGTCAGCCCTCATGCTTCAGTACCATCTATTGTAATGATGGCATCCATACTTATTTTCATGTAAACCCTCCATAGGGAAAAAATGTATATATTCTTTTTCATTCGTGGTGTTTTACGCTCCTGCTGAAACGTGCGTAGTGCATTCAGGTGTGACAGCCGTTGTCCTTGCATTCGAAGCCAGAGCCTTAACTGCTCACAGCTGCTCGTAAAGCAAATCCTAAAACAGTTTAGAAAAGACGGGAAGCTCTTGAGTAATTCACTGTCAGCTTAAATGCTAACTTCAAAGGAAGGTCTTTACATGAGGGAATTTCTAAAGTACAACAATTCTAAATGAGCCTTATTTGTGAAGCAGTCTTATTAATGGTGCCTTTGGCTACAGAGTTAACCTGCTCACTGCAGCCTCTTACAGAAGATGGGTTGTAACCTTTTCTTCGGCACTGGAGCACTCTGGCCTGGTTATAGACGACTCAGATAATGGAAACTGGCCTGTTAAACATGCTGGAAGAAATGCCCTCAGGACATGGATTTACAGAGAAAATATGCAGCAGAACAGAAAATATCTCCCCACTACATAGAATATGATCCAACCATCCACAATGAGCAGCTGCAGGAGATTGCATTCCCACAGCCGGCCTGTATGATCTGCGTGCATTTCAAGCCGATATTAAAACACACTCGTGATAATCAACAGGGTTGAAATGTAAATCAGTAGTGGACGGACAAAAAAAACGAACAAAACCGCATGTGTCATCACTGGGCATATTTGGTTTGTTTTAGCTGTTGCAGTTTACAATCAGTACTTTATTTAGATCACATGACGTATATATACAGTTCTTTTTACACATGACAGCGGTTTTCTGTGTTTTTTTTTTTTTTTTTTACTTCTACTATTCATATAGGAAAAGTTTTATTACTGGATGAATCATTCTTTATCATGCTTAGGGATTCTTTATTTATCCCCTATATTAGTAGTTTAATTTATTTCTATTATGTAATATTTTAGTTGAAAATACTTACGACAGCATATACAATCCTGTGTGGCTTATGTTTTCGGTGTTGTTGATTTTCATTACTTATGTTGCAGTGGCTGCACCTATATATATATATATATATATATATATAAACTTAAAAAAAAAAAAAAAAAAATGAAATGCTTACTCTTGTGCAGTGTTCAGTTGCTGAGAGAGTGCTGTCGTTGACACAGTGTACGTAGTGTGTACCGTACATCTGTGGAGTGTGTTCCCCTTCCTTAAAGACAGAGATCGGGGCATGAGCGGTATCGGATCACACAAACAATCGTGTCTGAAGTTATCTTATGTGCTGCTGCCTTACAGAAGTCAAACATTCTCCCACAGTTAAAGCGTGACTATCAATGGCTGAAAAACTTTGTAAAAACTCCAATATACTGCTCACATGAACTCGTTTGTGCCCCGACAAGTATAATAGCTCACCTGAGCTAGACTCTAGCGGTAGTGAAGATCAAAATCAAGCGGTGTCACACTAAATTTCATTATAGCACATGGTAACGCCGTTGCACTTTATACCCAGCTGTGCGGCGAAGTTCAGTGTGGATCGGATGGTAACATCATGGCTAAGGCATGTAACCAATGGTCATTACACCTGGAACAGCAGGTTTAGAGTTGTAGAAGTAAGACCAACGCTAGTCCTTTGTTTATTTAAAGGGTGTGTCAGATCACCATTACAGTGTACACTCTCCTGTAGCTCATAATTCCTCCTCCAGCAGTGTCCGTCATGTAAAATGTATTTCTAACGGTATTAAATCATCCATACAAAGTCCATTCTTCCACGTCTTGTGCTCGTGTATGTCACCATGATTTAAGCGTCATCTTTTTTCTTGCACAAGGATTTAATGAAAGAACAAAACCTACAAAACGTATAAATGCTGGTTGTATATTCTTTTTCTGTATTGTCCAACTGTAATTAATATTACGCCGAAGGGAAATAGTACACTATTATATGGAATTTTGTGAATATGCTAACAATATCTCATTTATGTATTAACATTATGCTATCATAATAACCTTTTACTTTGTATTTAATAATCATATTATACACATTTACACTAATTACTCATCGAGGTTCAGGATAGTGCACCTTCAGTGGAAGCCTCCGCCTCTGAAAAGTGAAGACAAAGCTGAAGTTCCTTAAACGTGCATTCTCGCTAATGTCCACCAGGGGGCGACTCCTCTGATTGTATAGAAGTCTATGAGAAAATGACTCTACTTCTCTCTTGATTTATTACCTCAGTAAACATGAGTTTATGGTCTCAATCTCTAGTTTCAAGTCTTCTTCAATACAGCATGATGTTCATTTAGTAAATTATGCTCCATTTAGAGTCAAATAGACGCAGTATGCTGTGGGGCGGGGCTACCTTGTGATTGACAGGTCGCTACCACGGCTTTGTCCGGTCTGAAAGTTGTCCGTATTTTGTCTTACAACTTTAACCCTTTCACAGAGTGTTTTTAGTCAGTGAAAGTTAATTGTAACATTTTTGGTCGCCTAAAATTATCTTGTTCGGCGTTTGGTTGTGCTCATGTCGCTTCTGGTTGCAGAAAATCAAGATGGCGATGACACAAATGCGGAACTTGAGGCTTCAAAACTGTATTCCACAAACCAATTGGTGACGCCACGGCCCGCCGTTGGTGGTGCCGGTCTGAGTCAAAAAGTCCAGGGCCATTTGTCATTCCTATTTGCTGCTACTTCAAACAAATGTATAATATTAATGTGGCCCTCTGGAGGAGTACACCCCAAGACTTTTAGAGAGCTGTCTCCTCACCACCCACAAGTTACTTTAAAACCTTCATCCGTGAACTGCTGGGCTCCACTTTGCCGCTATCTGTAAATGAAATACATTTGACCTTTTAATCAAGATCTCTAAACACCAAATTCGTCAGACAGGACACATCCAAAAATAGTGGTCTCCTTAATTTGCATATTTTTACCTGCAGATATGCACCATGTAGATGTGAATGAATGGGATGTTTTATCTGACATTCAGGCCAACCTCAAGGGAGAAACAGAAGTGGTTTAAACGGCTATAATTTTGGCATTTTTTTGCCAGTAAACCATGACGTTCTACACAGCAAAACAAGCCCAACCCCCTCAAACCCAAGAATGACACTGATTGCCTCACAGTGACAGCTCTGCAACTATTTTCCCGTGATAAGGTGTGTACTGCTGTATTTGGGTGTCTCCGGTTTCAAGTGTGATCGTGTATCCTGTAGTTGTTTTTCTCCACAAAGCGGAGTCGGCGTGGACGGACACGCAGCACAGCTGTGTCACCACAAAGCCTTGACGGTGCGTCGCATTTGGAGCGACAAAGAAAGACTTATGAAGAATGAACGACGGCCACCAGGAAGTAAGTAATGAAGCAAGACAAACAGACATGTTAGCTTAGAGGTTGTGTGCAGTAACAGCACAAGTGTAAGTTAACTTTTAACAGCTTGTGTGTGACTTGTAGTGAATCTTCTCTCTGAGAACTTGGTGTAGTTTTTAAAAAAAGCCTGTAAAATGACAAAATGCTGGACACAGCATAATGGGACACAGAGACTACTTGTCAATGCAAACAAAAGCGTCTCTAAAGACCTGTCTGATGTGTCAGCCCTCATCAGACGTACAAGAAACCGAGTTTGGGAGTCCTGCCCGGTCCAAACAGAGGAGGATCATCCACTTCTCCAGCGGTGAAACTCTGGAGCAGAAAGACAGTGAGGAGGAGGAGGACGAAGAGGAGCAATCATCAAACGGGCCTCCCTTCAGAGAACCAGAGAGGGTGGGACACTGTTAAGAAAATAAATCTCACGTTACATCTAATACTAAGTCATGTCATGTTTTTTTTTCTGACTCTTCTTTCTCAGACTAGGTTGTCATTCAAGAATGTGGCCATTCTAGTTGGGAGGATTGCACTGCTGAGTACGCAACTTGACAATTAAATGCATTCAAGCATACTACATCAACAATAGTCTCTAATTATCGCTCTGGAGAAAGTCTCACTTATTATGCCACTGTCGCCAAAATATAGCTTGCGATTTCCTTGGAGAGAGACTAGCTGGTGCACTAGGAATGAATGCGGCCAAATACCAGTATGCCATAGATCAACATCATCGTGACCACAAGGTAATGTAAAATTCAAGAGCAGCAAAACAAGCACACTCACAAGATACTTCTTTTGTAGTAATAGTTTGTCGGGGGGCAGGAAATGGGATGAAACTGCCCAGTCTCTCAATAACACACTGACAGGCCTGTGGGTGGTTATTTCCTTGTATCTCACTCATAGACAACAAGCATCCAGGCCAAGGACAACCTCCTGGAAGGACAGGCAGAGACGATCCACCTCTACCCCGGACTGAAGGATCGGAGTCATTACGGAGCTACAGGAGAAGCACGGTGCCCTGCTGACTCCCAGGCGAGCTGTGATGAGAAACACATGGACAGAAGTGAAGGACGTCATAATAGAGCTTATCAAGCAGATGAGGATTAATTTAAATAAAGAAGAGAAATTTAAAGAAATGAGGGTTGTAACTTTATGTGTGCACTGAGTAATAAATGATGCAATCATGTTTGCTTAAATATTGAAGGGGGACGATAAAATATGCATAAATAAAATATAGAAAAACATGAAAAGCAGTAGGCATTATTGCACTGACTTAGCAAGAAGTTGTTGATCGCTTAAGAGTATTTCGTGTAAAAGTTCATGGAAAGCAAAATACACCGACGAGGATGGGATTCGAACCCACGCGTGCAGAGCACAATGGATTAGCAGTCCATCGCCTTAACCACTCGGCCACCTCGTCAACGATGCTCAAGACCAGACCATGCAGGAATAAAACCTACACAGTTTCATGAGTACGTTCCAAAAACTAATCATATGTTTGTTAGCCTGGCTCTGGCAACAACGTACCTTGCTAACACTAGCTAACTGGCTAGTAAGTCATGCTAATGAGCCATGCTAACATTGCCTACGACTAAATGTGTAACGTTAAAAGTGAGTAACATAGTTTGTGTCGTCTGGAATACTCTCTCTTTCACCCATAAAGCACGAGACATTTGCACGGGTGAGATTTGAGTGGGACTGCGGCGTAAAATGTAACGTTAGCATCAGCTCGCTTAAGTTTTCTGCAACACCGCCAGCTAGTGTTAAGTTAAATAGTGTTATCATTTACATCATTATATAACGTTACTAAATATCTAGTACATGTGACGTTTACCTTAGCGTCACACCACTAACTGCTTACATCTGACTCTAGCTGTAACTACATGTACACTCTTAAAATATGACATCCAGATAGTGAAAGGGAATACACTCACTGTGTCCATAAAACTAAACGCTCTTGTCCGTGTTATATTACTAGAGAACCCCGGTAACGTTACACGGGTACTCATTTGACAGTTTAAGAATGTTGTGAAAACCCAGTCAAATCCGAAGACTCACTGGAACACCTGTTACAGTAATGATTTCTTCCAGTCAAAATATGAATCCACAACCATAAAAAACAACTGCTGGTCTTAACTTGGGGTCTATTTTACCTCTTATTTTGTTGAAAATCCAGACTCAATCTGCTCCCATACTTGTTGTGAATAAACTGGGTTTACACAATAACAGTGCTGGTTTGTGGTATTTGTCGCCATCTAGTGGTTGAATTAGCTCATTGTAAAATTAGGTGACTTACTCCTTTACTTCACTTGGCCCCATAACAAAAAGACACATCAGAACCAGTAGGCTACTTCTAATGATCTCGAGAAATTACTTTCAATTATTTGAGAGTCTCCAATCTAACAGCATACATTTGCAATGTTGGGGAAATTGGAGAACACCAAAGCCAATGTTGGTAGAACTCGCATGTATCTCAAGTAAATCTGAAAAAAACATTTGTTGTTATGTCACATAAACATGATAACATTTCTGTATTCAGGGTTATTATGAGATGCTAAAACAAAATCTGATAATGAGCCAGATAACGGGCAGGTAGTGTAAAGAAAGAAAAAAAAGCATTACACTGCAGCCTTTTGCACATAAAAAACCTCATAAATCAGCTCACCAATCAGTAACACCGAAGAGCCAAAGTCCCTCAGGTACTCTGAGGAACTGGCGTAAACTTCATTCAAGGGCTAAAGGTCATATCTTCTTAACGTGCACATTTAAAGCAAAGCGGCATCGTTTACTTCACACAGCAGGATGATGGAGCGAGCCCTGTTATGGTTTGGTCTGGTGGCCCTCACCACTTCATACACTGTAAGTATTTATCCATTCACGATGAGGGAAGTGTGATGTGATTAACTGGGTGACGATTCACACTGTTTTTTGTTTTAATCAGATACCCGTTTCCCCTGATGTACACGGTACGTCAGATCCTAAACTATTTCTTCCAACAAATAATAACTGTTGACAGGCTGTGAGAAGAGTCTGAGCCATGTCTGTGCTTGTGTTCCAGAGGTTTACAAGAACGGCGAGGATGAGAACCCCATCCTGAACCTGGGTGAGCTACAGCATTTGCTCATTGCTCCGGATCCTGTAGCAATGTGTGAAGTGTTGATCTAAGCTGTGTGTGTGTGTGTGTTTCTGGTTTAAATATAAATGTGTTGTTCCTGTGCTACAGGATCAGACGCCAACCTGCTAGAAGGGGACATTTTAATTCCAGTAAGTTGTATTTTAATGGAAATGTTTTCTTATTATTAAGAAAAACTGATTTTGCTTAATCATTGCTAATTCGTCCTTGAGCGCTTTATTGGCAGCTCTGCTCCGATGTGTGCAATCACATGTCAGGCGGACGGGACTGTTGGCACTCTTGCTCTTGAGTAATTTTAGTGCGACATCTATTTCAGATAACAAGATGGGCTTTATTGTGTGTGCGTTTATTATGAGCATCGATTAGGTTTATGCACATCATTTGTTTTGTTACTTTTTAAAACACCTCTCTCATGCTACAGGAAGGAAGGAATGCCATGATTGACAAAAGATACAGATGGAAATTTCCAATTCCTTTCATTCTGGGCGATGATTTGGGTGAGTTTCTTTTTCACTATACTCACTCTCCACCGTTCAATGACTCTTCGGGGATGAAAGAAAATTGTGTCTTCTTTTGTGACTTTTTTTTGTTTTTGTTCTCAGACCTGAACGCCAAGGGCTGCGTCCACCAGGCTTTTGAAATGTATCGGCTGAAGTCTTGCATTGACTTCAAGCCTTATGAGGGAGAGAAGACGTTCATCAAGTTTGAAAAGAGAGGAGGGTAAGTGGCTGCGTTTGCAAAAAAAATCTCCTGTTGATACCAGTTCAGGGAGTTAAAAATTGCAATAACCTGATAACTCTCTGCCTGTTTAACCCGGTTTTAATCGTGGGTTCGCGTTGAAGTTAACTGTTCCTACTGCGCCCAGGTGTTTCTCCAGCGTTGGTGACCAGCAGACCGGCCAGATTCTGTCCCTGGGGTCGGGCTGTGACCACAAGGCGGTGATTGAACACGAGCTGCTCCACGCTCTGGGGTTTTACCACGAACAGTCCCGCACAGACAGGGACGACTACGTCGACATCTGGCTGAATCAGGTGACGCCGGGTACGTCCGGGATCTGATAACATGCAGCGACCTTCGACCCTTCTTAAGGCATTTTACGTAGTTAAGAATGACTAAATCAACGTGAAATTTCCACCACAGGACTTGAAAACAACTTCAACAAGTACAGCGACGACTACATCACCGACCAAAACACGGCGTACGACTACGAGTCCGTCATGCATTACAGGCCCTTCTCCTTCAATAAGAACGAATCCGTCCCCACCATCACCACCAAAATCCCGGAGTTCAACAACATCATTGGCCAGTACCTGGACTTCAGCGAGATGGACACCCTCAGGCTCAACCGAATGTACAACTGCTGTACGTATATGCTGCAAGGTTCAGTTCCCTACTTTGATATGTTCATCTGTTTTCCTTGGAAGTTGGAATTGGGCCAAAACTTTCAAATGACCCTCTTCTCTCCCCAGCTGGTCCTCTCACCCTGCTGGACCAGTGTGCCTTTGAGTATGCCAGCATTTGTGGGATGATCCAGGCCTCCTCCGACGATGCCGACTGGGTCCACACCAAGAGCAGTGTGGGTGCAGAGGATCACACCCTCCTGGGAAGATGCAGAGGTCAGAGTGGACTATTGTCTCCCAATTAAAAATCCCAATTACTGACAGCATGAGAGAAAAAAAGAGAAACAAATTAAGTTGTATGCTGCAAGATGCTTTCCTTGTTCTTCCCTACTCTAGATGCTGGGTACTTCATGCACTTCAGCACCATGACTGGGAAGCCTCTGGAGTCTGCACTGCTGGAATCCCGAACCCTCTACCCCAAGAGGAAGCTTCAGTGTCTGCAGTTCTTCTACAAGATGACTGGAAGCTCCACGGACAGGCTGGTGATCTGGGTCAAGACAGACGACGGCACAGGCACCGTTCGTAGAATGAAGAAAATACACACTTTTTATGGTAAAATATGAAGTGCCCATGTTTATGGAGGACACATTTCCCAGCAGAGAAATGTGTTTGCTGGGAAATGCAGACACCTAAAGCCACCAAAGTACACAGCTTTGCATCAAGGCAAATATTATTTTGAACATTTGTTTAGCTGCTCGGTAGTTTGAAAATGATATTCAAATCAAGTTATTGTAAGACATCATGAAACATACAAGCTGGACAGTTACTAAGTGTCTGGACAGTTAATACGCATATCTGCTTCTTGCCGACAGTTAGATGAGAAGAACGATACTGTATGCTAAATATAGCCTGGCACTGTCCAAGGTTGGATAGGAAAGGTTGCAAAGCTATTTCAGCAAATCACTGGTCTGGCAAAGATGTTCCTGCAAATAACCACAAGTTGTCGTTTGCATATTTTTGTTTGTGTACGAATTATAAAAAGCATGTTAATGAGTATAACTTTTTTTTGACCCAGCGGATTCTGACCACACGTGGAAGATCGCCCACGTCCCGATGGAGGTAGGGATGAAATTCCGCTATTCTTTCCAAGCGGCATCCGCCGGTGGCATCTACATCGACGACATCAGCCTGACCGAGACACGCTGCCCCAACGCCGTGTGGAGGATCCAGAACTTCTCCAAGATCATGGAAACGGCCAACAACAGCACCGTTATTGACAGCCCTCGTTTCTACAGCCCCGAGGGCTACGGCTACGGTGTCCGTCTCATGCCATTGTCGAGTTACACTGATTACACCGGGAACTACGTGGGGCTGTACTTCCACCTGGTCAGCGGGGACAACGATGTGGTGATGCAGTGGCCGGCGGTAAACAGACAGGCCACCTTGGTGGTGATGGACCAAGACCCAGACATTAAGCTGAGGATGTCCTCCGCTCGCAGCCTCACCACCGATATGAGGAAGAGTAAGCACTCCACTATCCTCAAGCATGTTTGATTGGACTGTGAAACATTATTTATAGATCCATTTAAACAACCAAATGTTATGTAAAACAAGTGCTTTCCAATGCATGAGCTAACAAAAAGGTCAACTTAAAATTGTGGAGCTAACAACTACTGTAGACGACATCTCCAAATGTTTTAGTGCAGATCTTACATAACATGTTCGTGTAGTGTTCTTGGTATGTCCATGCTAGCAGCTCTGTGAGGCTGTGAATGCTAAGGCTGGCATGCTAGCATGCTCCCAGTGGCAATGCTTTGCATTGGACAAATTTAATTGACGTAATGATGACATTACATGAAAAGGGATCACCGAAGTTATTACAAGTTATCCTGAAGGGGAAGTGAATGTGTCTGGTAGATTTGAGACATTGTACTCAAAAACCACAAATGGTGCTAAAGTCAGGGAATCACCAAAGTCCTTCCTCTGGCGAAGGTCTCTTCAAAATGTCAAGACAATCCATCCAATGGCTGCGATGCGACCGATATGAAGTCACAGGTTGCTCTTCGATGGGATCCCTCCTCACATGGCAGCTCTGTCTCTTTATGTCTTCTAGCACCAGACGGACAGCTGTTTTGGGACAATCCCTCTAAGGTGGGGGTGTACGACCCTTCCTGCCGCTGCTACAGAAGCGAATCGTGGGGCTGGAGGAACTTTATCAAGCACTTTGACCTCAAGAGGCGCAATTACCTCAAGAATGACGACCTCATCATCTTCGTCGACTTTGAGGGTAAGTGGTCTTCTTGTTCAGTATCATTTTGTGTTGCGTGCCAGGATGCGCGCATGACGGTGATTATTTCTTCGTCCACAGACATAACATCCCTGATCAAAACAGAAGTTCCCATTAAACCACAGGAGTAAGGCCACTCAGGATTTTACATCATGATTAACTGGAGGTAAGGCATCTGACTTCTATTTCAAATACTACATCACACTAGTATGTTGACTTTTATTTTTCTCTGTCATTTGAAAATATCAGATGCAACATATGCAGCTGGGATGCGAAGAATGACCTGTGAAGATGAGGAAAAGATGGAAGATTACTGCTGTGGCACAATATAAGAGTTATACACATAATAAAAAAACAACTTCAAATGTAAAGTTATATTTGGTACATAATCAATGAATGCAATAGTGTTTGTGTATAATAAGCTTTTAAAGAGCGTCATCATTTTGAACTCTTGTCTCAATGAAAACGATCAAAGAAGAGTGAAGGACGAAGCTGTTTGAGGGTAACAGAATAAAGATTAATGAGCATGGGAAAACAGGAAACTTATTGATTCTGACAATTCAAACGTAGGGTATTTGTATTATATCATGTTAAGCTCAGGGCAAAGCATTAAACACATGGAAATACAAACAATTTAAAAGCAACCTAAAGAATGTAACTGAGGTCTACGGACAACTTAAGCACAGCATCAAAGACCACCATGTCTTTTTATGACTATAATCTACGATATACTATAATGAGTTTTTTGATATACTATACTATGACTTTTTAATTACTTTTTACCACATACTATAATAAGACTTTAAAATACTATTCTATGACGTTTATTACTTTATATCACATACTATGTCTTTATGACATACTATACTATTTTTTATGACATTCTATTATTTCACTTTTTTGAATTTGCATGACTTTTTATGATATATTATAATATTACTTTTTGACATGCTATAGTGAAGTTTTATTACTTTTTATGATATACTAGAATATGACTTTTTTTACATACTTTTTATGATTTTTTTACGACATACTGTCCAATGACTTTCTTGACTGACGATACTATTTTGTATAACAGGAACAGCATGTCAGGCTGAATGAATGAAGTGTAACTAAATGCAAATCCAGTCTGATTACCAGGCTGGATTCACTCTTACTGGGGATGAAAAGTTCAGATGTCGTCCTCTGCCAATTCAATTTTTAACCATTATTTTTTTAAGTCCCTGAACTTTGTGGAGGTGCAATAATAAATCACTCAAGTCCTCCTTTAATATCAACGAAATCTGCTGCATTGACATTTGATAGGGAAACATGTAATAAAGCAGGTTATCAGGTTCTACTGGTGTTATGGCACAACAGATTCAAGTTGTAAATGAAGATTACAAGTGCTGGCACTCGAGGCAATCTCTTTAATGCACACCCTGAAGGCATCACCACTCTCATCAATCAGTTAAGGCGAGAAACCCCTGGGAAAAAAAACATTGTTTTTTTTTAATGCACTGGTCAAGTTTGAGGTTTTGGTCTCTTTGGCTTCCATAACATGTCTTCTTTCAGACTAGTGGAAGGAAATCATCCAAAATACACTTTTAAGTGTTTATTTGACTACTTTGTCTATTTGCATCTTTAGATTTCTCCTAAATTCATCAAAAGTTACCATTAGATAATGCCTAATTTGCATATTTTAACATATTTTTTTCGGAAAACTTGTAATACAAAAAATAATTGACTTTATGTAAGTAACCAACTGGGGAAGTTTCATGGTGATATCTATTAGTTATTTTTTTTACCCTATTCACCTGTCGTGTCTTCAAAACATATGTAAATTTACAAAACATATCTTTAAAAGTTAGAAATCTCCACTTAAGTTGCACTTACATACACCAAACTTCCCAGTTTTATTCCCATCTATATTATGTTCTGAAGATTTTTACTGAGGGGTTTGTTCATATATTATTTATAGCCTGATTTAAAGAACATTTTATTACTTAAAACATGGAGAAAAATGACGATGATCTGTTGACAGTATTTTCTGATTTATGGAGTGATACAAGAAGATATTCAAACTTCCCTCTGTAAAAACCTTTGACTCTAATATGTCACCAAATGAAACAAGATTTTTTAACCTGGCTTTATCAATGTTCACATTTCTGTTCTGGAAATGAAATAAGATAATGCCTCATTTGAATATTTAATCATACAATTTCAGAAAACTCATGTTGCTATCTACTAGTTTTAATGTTTTCTTATTCACCTATGTCTCTAACACAAAGAGGACATGGTTTTGACACAAACAGGCAACTGTTGTTCCTCACAATGATGCTTTCTGTGGCCTACATGACTTGGTAAATTTCCATCCCCAAGCAACACAGGGGTCAGAGGTCAAACCCACTAACAACATAACTGCCTTTTTTATTCGACTTAAGATCAGAGTTCATATTATTCCACAGTTGATTCTGATGCCTCTGTACAGGGTCAACAGCTTATTGTGCCGCCATTACCAGTGCATGCCAGGACACCCGACAACATGCCAGTCGTATAAGAGGCAGCGAGGACACGTGTGAAGTGCCTATTACTCATTGAACACCACAATCCTGATCAAAGTTCCCCTCCAGCTTCTGTCTTTATGGGCATGTTAATGTAGCTTCAGAGAAACACCTTTGGGTCTGGGTAGCGACATGGGCTCCGGGGACAGTTTGAGCAAAATCGCCGTGCTGATCGGAGTCTTTGTGGTTTTGACGGTAGGGGCATTTGTAATTCATTCACATTGAGAGAAATTGAAAAAAAAGTCTCTGTAGAGGGGTTTAAATTTTGACATACCTCTTTTTGTGCGGCAGGTGCAAGCTGTTCCTACACGTACCGGTTTGTTTCCGTTAACTTGATCACATACACGTAAAACAAGCATGTTTTTAAAAATAACCCTTTTTTCGCAGTAACAATACATTTATCTTCCAGGTGATTATGCAGATGGTGGTGAACTGAGGGACGACATACTTGAGATCAATAGAGGTATACTCTTTTTTAAAGCCCTGTCTCCTTTTGATACATGTGTTTATGTGCTTTCTTCATTCATATTCATTAAGCACTAAACCTGTGTTTCTTAAGGGTTAAACCACCTGTTTGAGGGAGACATCGCTATTGATGTAAGTATCTTAGAGATGAGATGTTTGTCAAGAACTCAAAAGCAGATTCTGAACCCTTCCAATGTGCCTTACAGCCCAGCAGGAATGCAATCCTCAATCAAACACTGAGATGGAAGTTTCCCATTCCCTACACCTTAACTGATTCTTTAGGTAAACTTTGCACGACGGAGTACATTTCCACCAACAAATAATCGAACGAGAAGGTAAATATACACATGCTGATATGGAATTCCTTTTATCCTAGAACTGAATGCTAAAGGTGTGATCCTCCAGGCTTTTGAGGAGTACCGTTTGAGATCCTGCGTGGACTTCAAGCCCTATGAGGGAGAGAGCAGCTACATCTCCTTCACCAAGCTGTCTGGGTGAGCTGCACTGGCTCGGGTGTGCTCGCGGCTGTTGCACAACTTTATGGGATCATGCCGTGTCATCAAAAGCGTTATGAAGTGGACATCTTGTGATGAAATGCTAGTCAGAGAGCACTAACAGAACGTTCGCTTGATCACGTTGTAATTTCAAACCTCCATTTTATCAATGCAGATGCTGGTCGTATGTTGGAGACGATAGAACAGGCCAGAATGTGTCCATTGGAGCCAGGTGTGACACCAAGGCCATTGTGCAGCACGAGCTCCTCCATGCTCTGGGCTTTTACCACGAACAGTCTCGCTCAGACAGAGATGACTATGTCAAAATCTGGTGGGACCAGATTGAAGAAGGTGGGTCACAATTGTATCATTTTTTTGTTTTGTTTTCTTCAGGCCTGTGACCAGGATTTAATAAATACTCCAAGTTCAAAGAGATATTCATTGAGAACATTTAATATATACCGAACGAAAATTAGGCTGTGCTTTTTAATCGGTCATGCAGTGGTAAGTTTGTTTTCAAATGTAAATTTACATTATTTGAAAAAAGAAAAAATACAAGGAAGTGAATTTCAACAAATAACCATACTTTTCAAAGGATATGTTTTACAGCTTCTACATATACAGTACATATGTTATGTGGGAGCACTGTTTGTAGGCGTTGATAAACCATCACTTGACTGTCTACATGGCGATGTTATTTTCTCCTCACAGGGAAGGAGCACAATTTCAACAAGTATGAGGATGACTTCATCACTGATCTGAACACACCATATGATTACGAGTCCATCATGCACTACAGGCCTCTGTCGTTCAACAAGAACGACAGCATCCCCACAATCACCACCACCATACCGTATTTCAATGAGGTCATTGGCCAGCGGCTGGACTTCGGTGCTGTCGACATCACCAGGCTCAACCGCATGTACGACTGTGGTGAGTGTCTCCTTTCCTGTCCGCCTACGGGTTAGAGAAGGTATCCTGGCAGGGAAAGTGGTTAAGTGATGTGTAAGTAAAGTAAAGTACTTGTTTTATGTCACACTAGATCTGAAATACATTGACATCGTCATCTTAAAGCTGCACTAAAATAACTATCACACAACTCTGACGACCCCCCTCACCTTTCCGAGTCAATGTGGAGCTCGTTCAGCTGCCCCGTAGTGGCCAAAAAGTCAATAAATATGGCTTTCTGCAATAAAATAACAGCCACAGATATTTGTTTGACGTAAAAATCCCATTAGTACTTTGAAAATCCTCCACATTAACCCCAGAAAATATTTTTTGTTGCTAACTTTCCTGTTCCAGCCAACATACTCACTCTCTTGGACCAGTGCTCCTTTGAGCTGATCAACATCTGTGGAATGATCCAGAACGAGGAGGACAACGCAGACTGGGTCCAGATGCTGAGCAGTCCTGCTGATATGGACCACACCGTGGCAGGGCTCTGTAGAGGTACTGAACTTATGTTCTAGATCAAGGGAACAGTGCCTTGCAATTAAATCTATTATTACAAAATGGAAAGAACATGGCACCACAACAAACCTGCCTAGAGAGAAATACTCACGGACCAGGTGAGAATGCTATTAATCAGAGACCCTAGGTAACCCCAAAGGAGCTGGAAAGCTCCACAGTATCTTTCCATAGGACCACTATTAGCGTTACACTCCACAGAGCTGGGCTTTATGGAAGACTGGCTAGAAAGAAGACATTGCTCAAAGAAAAATATAATACACATTTGAAGTCTCACATGCTCCTTTTGGTGAACTCCAAACAATCCCCGTCATCACTATAATTCAGTTGACGTTTCATGTACCGAAGGTTTTTCCCTTTCCAGATTCTGGCTACTTCATGAAGTTTGACACATCTTCCGGCGCGGTGGGAAGCAGCGCCTTGCTGGAGTCACGTATCCTCTAACCCAAGAGAGACGGGCAGTGCCTGCAGTTTTTCTACAAGATGACTGGAGCAGCTGGGGACAAACTGGTGATATGGATCAAGACTGACGATGGGACCGGGACTGTGCGCAGTGTCAGGAAGATCCACACCATTGCAGGTATTCTGTTTTTATCATTCCTACGCCAGCACAGAATAACAATACAATTAATCAGCTTCTTTTTTTGTCTTTCAGGAAGTGGAGATGCTGCCTGGAAAATAGCCCATGTGACTCTCAAGGTGACAGAGAAGTTCCGCTATTTCTTCCAAGGTGTCAGAGGATCGTCCGGCTCTTCGGGTGCCATCTTGATCGACGACATCACCCTTACTGAAACAATTTGCCCCAGCGCCGTCTGGCAAATCCACAACTTCACCGGTGTTCTCGCCAACACTCCTCTTGGCGGTTCGTTGAAAAGCAAGTGCTTCTTCAACTCAGAGGGCCACTCATTCGGTATCAGTGTTTACCCGAATGGAAAGGAGAGTGACTACCCAGACTATGTTGGCATGACCTTGCACCTCTGCGGTGTGGGTAGATGATGCAGTGATACAGTGGCCAGCTGAAAACAGGCAGGCAACCATCGTTGCCATGGACCAGGACCCTGATGTGAAACTGAGAATGTCTTCTACAAGAAGCTTCACAACAGGTAAGCCCGGGTCACTGACAGTCAGGAAAAAGAGAGTCCGATGAAAGAGTTGGTTTTGCTGATTTACATCTAATAGTATTAAGCCACGCAGATAGTTTGGCTTTCACTTGGTCAGATTTTGAGATTGTTGCTTCACCCCAGATAGTGTCAAAACCAGACACTGTATCACTCCCATTTTCAAACTCGACATTCATTTTAATGTAAAGTTTTTTGACTGCGTCTGGCATGGTTGTTACGCTATCGTGGTGACAAACTCAGTCCACGGACAGAAAGAGATATTGACACAAGACAAAGTACTCAGAACCTCCTTTGTGGTAGTTCCTGCTACAGTAGGTGTCTCCACAACCACATTTTGCCACGATGACTCAAACTCTCAAGGTGAAAGCAATACCAGCATCGCTGTCGCGGCAGAATGTGCAGCCGTCAAATTAGAAATAAACGGTAGGCATTGAGAATAAATATGTTCACTTTACACAATTGGGAATCTTCTGCCAGCATTCCTCTTTTGCTTTATTTACACCAACAGTGTTGGGTTTTGCGGTAATAATTATTTCATAGACAGCCTGCAATTGGTCCATTTAGTTCGGTAGGAGAGTCACAAACTCTGAAGAAAAAACCTGGGTTTACAAAGAGAACGGGTATCTCAAAGCCTGGCATTGTAGAAGTTGCATCATCTCCCACTCTCACATCATATTATAACCACAAATATGTGAAATTGAGAAACGGATAACGTTTGTTTGTTTTTCTTGACTATCCCCCCCCCTCAGACACTCATCCTCGTTGGAACAGACCAACAGCTACTTCAGGTGCAGTGAGATGGAAATGAGACCGGAGGTTTCAAAACACAGAGAAGCCCGTGCCGCCAACCCCTATCATTCCAACCCTTGTTTCAACGGAGGCGTGTGTGTGGAGAGTGAAGGGAAAGCCTCATGCAGGTGTGTGTGTTTGCAGGGGTTAATATATAGCACATGTTGCTTGCATTCCTAAATGTCTACTTTTAAAATTTAGGATTTCTAGAGAATTGGTTATATATTTTGGGCAATCCTCACTTACAAAAAAATATGGATTAAAATTAAATGACAATGAGGCACAGGCTAAAGCTAGAGAAAGCACTTACAAAAGACTTGCACTCATAAATTGAAATTGTGTGTTAAGTACGGAACTAGAGACAGGTCTCCCTTAGCTTAGGTTAGCATAAAGATTGCCGGCAGAGGGAGACAGCTAGCCTGGTTCTAGCCAAAGATCAAAAATGCCTACCAGCACCTTTAAAGCTAAGTAATAAACACAATCCCTCAGCATTACATTGGCCCATTTATAACAACATTAAGCTACTCTATGCTAGAGTAGCTTGGGACATTAAAAATAATGGGAAATTAAATTGTAGTTCCTTCAGAATCCTTAAACGAATTTTGTGACATTTGAGCTTTTATCATTTGACATCTTTTGACATTTTTGCAGACAGTATGATAAGAAGATCTGTACCGCTCTCATATCTGTTTGTTAAGTGAGCTGGAGCCAGAAGGCAATTAGCTTGAAGCATGAAGACTGGAATCAAGGAGAAATCTCTGCATCTCTGTTTATTTTAAAATATACACAAACAGACATGTAAAGTGGTTTTATTGGCAGTTACAAGCTTTAACTATTTCTTGGTGAACCAAATGTAGAAGCAGTGACTTGTTGGAGTTTTGACGTCACCATAAGGTTGCCGCACAGAAGTGCTGGGGGGACGGATAAACTGCTTTCCCCTACTTTTAGTCTTTATGCCATGTTAGCTCCCAAACTGGCTTTAGTTTTATACTTCAAACACATACATGGAGTGGTGTCGATCTTTTCATCAAACATCCAAAAAGAGAGCAAATCCATTTCCCAAATGTCAAACTATTCCTTTAAAGTCTCTCGAGGAAAGATTTGCGTGAACAAACTTTTATTCCCAACAAACTGCTAACCAACCACTGTTCTGGTTAGCCAGATGACACAATACTCAGCAAATTCAGTACTTCGCCAAAAAGAAACAATAGCTCAGCATGTGTGTCCAACAATATAGTTCAAAGCAATTACTTGTGCCTAATAAAAAAATCTGTGATTTTCAGGTGTGTGTCAACCCAGACCACCTACTACGCTGGTAAGAGGTGTGAAGAACTGAACATAGACAGAGGCATCGTGGGAGCTCTCATTGGTGGCGCAGCAGGGACCGTGATTCTGACACTGGCTATCTTCACCGTCATCAGGAGAGCTCAGTGAAACACGTGTCTTCTGCATTCATTCAGCAGTGGAATCACAGAAAAAAATGCTGCCAATATTGGAGAGAGAAGTGTTTATAGACTTTTCTTTTTTGGACACTAATTGCATCGCAAGCCCCGTATTTTGTGTGTCCCTACATGAAACAAATCTGTAGAAATGAAGCCCCAATCAGAGCAAGAGTTTGTTAAATTTGTGCGGTATGTGGTTTAGATTGAGATTGAAACTTCGCAAACATGCATAGTATAATGAACAACGAAAGACATTATATTCTTTGCCTTTATTACAATGCATATGTTTATACATACAGCGGTTAGACACACATGGTATACAGGTTATAGTTCAAGTAGAAATGTGTTAATTTACATTTAAATGATCAAACCATGCCAAACTTGTAAAAACAATTTCTATGTTCTAAATACAATCAGCTTAAACTAGTCGTACAGAATGCACACCATCCAATAATGTGGTTTGAGTCAGTAATAATCTAAAGCCCCTCCTTAAAGCAGCTAAATACAGTAATAATTTAGTATTGTGTTTCATTTCTTTGGCACTCATAATGGAAAATAATCTGTATCTACTTTACCCTTTAAAGAATGTATGCATTAGCTAGATTTACATATTAATCCCCGGAGGGGATGTTTTCATGTAATATCTTTGTCAGTTGAGGATGATAATGGTCAGTACTGGTGCAACTAATAATAATAATGGTCAATTCTATCAAACACATACATATTAGCAAAATGAGTGTTATATTTAATTCATGAATTCAATTTTTATCACAAGCGTGTTAAATTAAGCTTGAGATGAAAATGTAATATATACGATAAACAACATAAAACAATTAACCTTATTTTAGGAAATCAATCTCTATTATCTATATCATCTTATGTAACTGTCTAGGAACTTTAATCCAACACAAAGTCAACTCTAGGAGTTGTGGGCTTCAAGTGGAGCTGCATACGTGTGAGCTGCTCCACGATCTGAAATGTAGAGATGGAACATTTTTAGACTAGATTCACAAACTCACTCAATATACTGTATATTCTGCTTACATGCGGTGCAAAAGTGATTCACTGCTTATTAAACTGACAGACCCACTTCATGTAACCTAGCGTAGCGTGTTAGTTAAGATGCTAGTTGCTATGGTAACTGCAGCCGCATTGGACCTGGCTGTTTGTCAAACTGTCCAACATGTATTTTTATCATAAAAAGCGGAAAATAAATAAAAGTGGTCGCATAAAATTTGACATTGCTACTTTCCTTTTTCCACGTGGTAGATTCACCAAACTGTTCACCAATACACTGCTGCATAAGGAAAGATTAGAATCATGAGAAATGTTGCTGACTCTGTTTGAAATGAGGTTGTAATTTACCATTCGCTAGGCTCCGTCCCCCACTGTTACTCCATCAAGCTGTCAGATCTACCATGGAGCCCACACTGTTACTAACTGCACTCGCTGTATAAATATAATCTAATATTCAAACAAGTTATCTAAAATAGATTTCAGAGCGAAGCAGACAGAAGGGTCTACAATATGGGTTTGAAAAGGATGTTTGTGGTATTGAAGATGCAATAAATGCATGGAAACAAGTAGATGAAGAGACTACCAATGACGTAACAGAAGACTGACCTCGGTCTTTATTTGTCTTTCGTGTATGTCGTTGAAGTCAAATTCTTCATGCTCTCACTCTTTCTATTTGATTTTGCCTGAGGGTAGAATAAAACAGAGATATAATGCATGTTTCCATCTTTTATGGTTTAATTCTGGATAGACCTCATTGGTAAACTTACCATTATGAGCTTTAACATTTCATCTCGGACCTGTTAATAGTAACACAAAAAAAGTAATAAATTGGGCAGATGGTAAAACTAAGCAACATATTACCTGGCAACATTTGTAGGCCCAAGGCATCAAAACCCTGCCTCCCATGGTACAGGTAAGAATCCCCTACTTATGACCACAGGACATTTTGGAGATTTTCAATAAATCAATGAACATACTGACACTGATAGAGCATTGATTAAACCTACCTTCTGCTCTGCCAAACACCCTGTGATAAAAATGAAAAGGCCCTGCAAGAGAAGAGATGAAATACAACAGGTTTCTTTTCAAGCATATTTTGGAAAATTAACATTTGGAATTCTACATTACATGTCTTGCTCGTGGCCTTTTTTTGTCTACATTTGTTGTCTTTATTACTGGAGCACTTATGGCATATGACAGAATACACTCATCAACATTGGTGATAGAAGGGTGGGGATTGTATTTCATTTGTTGGGAGTGGATCTTGAGACAGTCACCGCCCACAACATCTTCTGACCACCCAGGCAGACCTGCCGGACCAAACGCCGCCGCAAGCGCCAACTGCCCCAGAAGGATGAAGGCTAAGCTAACCCAGCTATAGGACCTAAAGCTAACTGACCTTCGGAGTGTAAGTGGAGTTCCCCTTTAAGTTGCGTCTTAGATTTAGCGCCATGGCAATCCTTAATTACTTCACATATAAATGATCCCAAATGATTGAAGAAGACAGACTAAATGCAGGTTCAATTTGGGGGAAAGAGAGCACTGGTATGAGGTTGGCAATCGATATATGTAGCTGAGCAGAGGTATTGGTACTGGGTGAGAAAAAGTAGGATTGATGCATCCCTAATATCAACATTCTCTTTGGTGTGTGGATTGCTTTCAAATTACCTGGAAGGAATTGAGGATGGTAAAACTGTAGCTGGCAACAGTAACCATGGGATTGTCCTTGTCCAATAGAAGCTGAGCGAAGCCAATGATCCATGTTACTCCAAAGACAGGCGTTAGAAAGACCACCACTTTAATGATGCTTTTGGCTGTCTCCTTGTCATCCACCTTGCTGGCATCAGGGACCGAGGACTTCACTAGAGTAGCAATGACGACCACCATGGAGAAGAGATTTGTCAAAATCACGGTTCCAACAGGGAGGATAAAAGCATGTATGGAACCCTCCAAGAGTCTTTCATAAACCAGCCAGCATGTTTTCTTATCATAGTATGGCTTGTTGGTGTACTTGCAATACATATAGCTGGATCCCACTATTAAGACTGGGCAAACATAGCCTACGCTGCTGGCGAGGAACATGAAGACTCTTTTCCTCAGCGGACTGAAGACGAAGATGAGCTGGTGGACGAGCATGACACTCATGCACAGCATCCAGCTGAACATGGCCAAGAAAAACAGATGTTTGCATAATGTTAAAACTAGGCACCAGGTTTCACTGTCTCCCTCAGAGGCCAGGAAACTGATGTCAGCAAGCAGGAGGAACGTGGCAATGTTCACCATGGCTGTGTGACGGAAATGTGAAAGGTTGGACTTGACCACGGCTGACCACACTAGAGCCTCAATGGTGAGGAAGATCAGCAAGGAGCAGATGGACACACTCAGGCCCACATAGGTAATGATATCTAGGACTTCAGTAGATATATCTTCCTTGGCCATGAGGACAGAGAATGAAGTCAGGTGGTTGCATTCGCAGACCACCTGACCTGTGCCGTTACCATTACTAGGTTTAATAACGCATCCCGCATCCGACCATTCCTTCTCACTGGTGTTCCAGAAGACACAGTGAGGTTTAGTGTTGATATTCAGCGTTTTCTCGGGGAACTCCAGCGTAATTTGCAAAAACGAGTCACTGTTGTTCTCCAGTGTGGCTGATATTAATAGGCTGGTAGGCAGCATATCGAGAAAGTTGTTTTTTAATTTCTTCATTACATTTTTGATGGCAACAACTTTGAGTATTCCTGTGGTCCTGTTCAGATTCACGCCGATGCCAAACATAGACACATTACAGTTGCTACTCGAGCAGAATTTGAACTGTAAATTTGGACTGAAGACGTTGCTGCTGTTGCTATTGATCTTGATATTCTTCACCAGACCCTCCACAGACTGAAGGTAGTTTGATGACATCTTGTGAACTTCAGATTTGTTGACCGCATCCCAGGACCCGTTCAACATATTGCTTGCCGCGCTAATAAAATCCTGAAATAGAAGAATAAAAAGATAATTGGTGCTAAGACACATGCTATCTAGGGATGTCCTAAGCTGATCCTCAGGATTGGTATTGTGTCGATCCAGTGATAATATAATGGACTAATATTGGCTAAAAAAAGCAGATCATAATCCAATCCTTTCTTTACTGTGATGTCTTTTGCCCACCACAGCCTACAGTGTGAGCATTTCACTGCAAATGGAATGACAATTAGACTGTGTGAATGTGAAAAGTAATATGGGAGAACTGGTGCGAGTTCTGACATTGAGGTTGCCAAAATTCACAGATTTGCTAAGCGCCGACAATGATTATCATTAGTAAAGAGCAATGGACAAAATATTCGGCAAGCAGATTTCTCATTGACAGCAAGCGTTGACCGTCGCTTTCACCAGTTACAGCAGGTCACTACGTTGCTGCTCAATGTTTTAGGGGTCCCAACCTCCCAATTAAACTTCCATTCTTCAAGCTTAAACACATTATATTTTTGAATCAGGACCTTCAGTGATTGTATCTAGTCACTTAGGGAAATAACGTGTGTCAGATGACCCACAACAGTTGCTAATTCAATGTGTCAGATAGATATTTAATCAACATTTCTGTAAGTATTAGGTATCAGATTGGACTCTGTACCATCAGATACCCAAAACTAACTAACTCATATTGGGATCTGGCTGGATTTAGAAACTAGGTTCATGCCACAACTGAGAATCACCTTCACCTTTCTGAAAAGCTAGTTTGATGGGGCATAAAGCATGATGATTCAATTTGATCCTCTGGTGCTAAAAAAAACAAGGCTAACAAACAGCAATGGTTAGACGGATTCAACCGGTTACCTGTAGAGTGACTGGAGGATGTAAGAATTATGTACAGCTTTGGAGGATGTAGAGCTTCACGAGAACTTCACTTGTATTTGTAAGTGCATGTTTAAAACACAATCTATGACAGTGTAACTGCACATTTTGATTAAAGCATTCGTTATTAAGCTTTTAGCCACATATTGTGGCCTTATCATGGAGATGGTCAAGTTGTTATGACATATGAAAATTCGATTCTGTGGTATATGGTGTGTGTGTGTGTGTGTACCAGCAGAGATGGTGTTGCATGGTTTCTTGTAAGTGTTGAATCCTTGTGACTCAAAAAAAAGTTCCGACAGCCCAGCCACGTAAAGTAGTCGCAATGGGATGCTTCTGGTGGTCCCTGTTGAGTTGGCAGTGTTTGTCTTGAGGTTGGAATTTTAATCACTCCTTGTTGGCCTTCAGTAGTGGCGTGTTCTTGTTGCACAGATGTATTGATACAGTATTGGCTTTTTTTCCGCGAATATTTTATTGCACGTACAGTCAACTCAAGTAATCTTCACTTCACCTGGTTCACCTCACCACAGCTAGCTATCTGCTGGCGCTTCGTACGTTTGTGTCTATGTGTGTAGTTTGAGGAGCTCAGCCCGATAGAGAGAGCAGAGCAAATGCGCACTGCAGTGTGATAGCGAATGACACCAAAACATTAAATAGTACTAATAAAAAGCAACAGTTAAGTCCGGACTTATCAATACTACAATCTTTAATTATTTAGTACCGGGGCCCGTTTAACACTGGATTTCGGAACGCATCCCCACCTTCAGATAGCATAAAAACGCGAAAGGCGAAAGACACTGAATTCCTTCGAAGACGGCCTACTCCCTACGTCGATATAAATGGCTTTTTCTTAGCTAAAGAAAACATGACAAGTCTTAGGTTTGGGTGATTATAAACTGATTAAAACATAGTCATGAATATTATATTCAATATCTGCCAATAAATCCCCCTAAATGTTACACACTGTTGATTTAAACACAAGCCAAGGGAGCCAAGAATTTTTTTCCATTTGTAATAATTTATTTCAGCCAGACGTGCCGATGCTACTTGGCTAGCTTACTTTGGAATGGATGAACCTGGGCCGATCAAAAGAACGAAAATCCCGCCGTAGCGTGAAAGCTACTTGGATTATGGCTTTCTATGGAAGGTATGGCTCATCTCACACACAAGTGTCTAGGATCTAGGGGTCGACCGATCAATCAGTTTGACCATAGGAGGTTTTTAAAACCATCATTATTGGTGGAACTGGGCTCCGATAGTGGCCTATGGGACGTACATACATGCATAACGGTTCTGCATTATTTCATGGAAGCAATTCTCCACATACGGGCTAAAACTTTGCGGCCCCAGGAAATACAAAGAAAGGATGGCAGCAGGGCAATCATCTATTGACTTTTTCCTTCTCCAAAGTAGTGTTATTATATTTGCCTTCAGAAATCGGTCGAGGAACGGCAGCTTCCCATCCAACAATCAAACGAAGAATTTCCATTCTGAGGTCACATGATAACAATTGAACCATCTCCATGACAACTGAGCAACTCCATATGCTGAGGACTACAACATGTGGTTAAAAGGAAAAACAGGTATCCTACATGGGATCCAGTGTTAGGAGAAGTTTTTTTTTTCAAACTGCTGTTTCCAAGGTCAAGCATTAACCTTCAAGCTTAAAACTCCACATGTATTACAGTGAAAGTAATAATCAACAGGGGCTTACAGGTAAGACGCCATCTTGCAAGTTAACATTCTCTGATGCCCGGGCCATCACATCAAGAATATTTATGGAGGCGATAATGTTGGCAATATAGTAACTGGAATCAGACTCAGATGTAGAACTGTTTTTAAGTCCTGAAAATATATTCATGGCCATCTCCTGGGTAGCCCCTAGTCCCTTCAGGAAGTCCTAGAAACAAAACAAAAAAACAGCTTCATGTAACAATGTACAAAAACACACAAGTTACATCCCCACACAAAATGTAGGTGAGGTCAAAACAGTTGTAAACTTGAAATGATAAGGTTCTGTCTGTGATGTGAGTGGTTTTGAGATACTGAGGTGCAAAGTTTTCACATCCCACACACAAAACAGAGTTTACTGTAAAGTTCTGAGAACAAATGTTTCTCTTGAGTTTTAAGGTTCAATCTGCTAAGGCTTTATTCAAAGCAATGATTTTGTTTGAGAAAAGTAGACTCATTTGTTTCAACACACAAAATCAATACACAATTTATTAAGTAATTAGCTAGCTGGAAACATATACATTTTTCTCAGATTCCTAAATTCAAAAATTTTGACCTACATCGCGGTAGCCTAATTTCTCAAGTAGTCACAGTAACTTGAGTTACTTAATAATAGCATTCAATCTTGATTTACAGTATGAGCTTTGTATACATTAGCATGCCAGATGCTGTCTAGTGTAGTACCTAATGGTACAAATGCGCTATTCACCAAGATCAAACAAGATTACTCTGAACAAGGTTGGCATTTGTGTCAGTATCAATCATAATGTTTTTGATAAAGCCATACTTTTTTAAACATTTGAATAATCCTGTTCGTTTATTTAAACCCAGTCACCTACCAGTGAGGTGACTGGGTTAAGAGACAAAACTTGATTGGTCGTCTTGTCTACTCTCTGAGTAGTGTTAGTTGGTCTGCATGTTGAACGTCATAGAGCCGAGGTTTTGGAGAACAATTTTGGAGAAAGAACTTTTCTCCTGACAAATTTTAGGACCATCAATGCATAAAAGTCTACAGTAAATAAACTTTCTCAATGGAATATTTACATGTGAATAAATAAGGTCTGATAAAGAAAGTTGGACAGAACTTTATAATTTTTCCACACTTACGTCTGCATCATTTGAAACTTTGTTCAACTCTTTGTTGACGCAGTAGTAGAACACATCCTGCCAGGTGCCAATGCGTTCACAAGTGCGTGACTTATAGCCAACCCTGCCCGCTTCACATGTGTGATTAATCACTGTGTCTCCAGCTGGGGTTTTCGGCCAATTCATGTCTTCCTCGCAAGATATTGTATCCTCTTGGACAAAAATATAGGAAATTAGTAGTTGATGCAAGAGACATTGCTAATAAATGTAACTATAAACAAAGTAATACAGTACTCTGACATTATAACAATATATCATATTATACCAGAGACTAAGTTGAAAATAAACAGATGAAATAAAATGAGAATAATTTACAATTTAATTGAAAATAATACGTTACCATAAATGACTGGGATAAGCACTTCTGCACTTTTCTTTTGTCCCTTGTTGTTCTTAAAAGTGATAGAAACATTGTGTAGGGGGTGGGGGAGTTTTTGGCAATTGACATTAGCGATGTAAGTGTAGATGTGGTCATCTCCATCAGCTGTAAAGATGGAGTAGTTATCAGGGTTAGGTTTGCGGTTGTGGAAATGTGTGCATTTTGCAGAAATATTGGGAATTTAAATTTGCGCTGATATTATAAAGTGAAGAAACATTTCATGCTGCGGCTACTAAAATGAAGCAAAGGGGACAGAAAGACTTGAGAGATACTGCAGGACTGACTTACAGATGAAGTTTTCATTTATTTTCTGTTTATCCATGTATTGCCACAGCACGTCAAAGATCTCAATTGTGTTTGAGATGGTGGCAGTGACCCTCACAGGGACTGAATTACTCGGCTTCGAACAGTCCGCAGTGAGAGGGTTGATCCTCAAGGTGATGGTATCAGGCAGGAGTGTCACATTCAGCAGTGTTTTGGCTGTGTGCCTGACTGACCCGCTGGTGAATCCACACTCGTATCGGCCTGCAGGGCATATGTAGGAAAAATTCACGCAACAGCTGCAATGGGCTGAATGTGACTTTTTTTCTTCTCACAGAAGTGTCGCCAGCAGATTTGTCTTAGAATCAAACAATTCCATGAAAGTGAAAGTAGTTGCTCTACATAAAAATGTCCCCTGTGTCTGATATATTATTACGCATGATATTATCAGATTGTTAGCACTGATCAATACAACATGTGACCATTGGAATATAAGACCATGGAATGACCCCCCCTCCGGGACACTCAGTGTTGTGTTTGTTGGCTTAACAGAAAGAAGAGGGGTCTAGCTAGCGTCAGCAGTATCTCTTTCATGGGTCGGGTTGATGACCACACTACCAAAACACACAGCAATGAGTAGCCCTGTGCTTACTGTACACATCCCGCACACTACTCTGCGATGTGAAGCGTGACACGGTGTAACTAACATGCGGAGTCATGGAGCTCTCAATTCACACATGGGGCTAAGCAACGGCTAAGATAGAGATATTGCACCAATCCCATTACCAGTGCAGTAACTGTCAGCAAAAAATTGCACCCCCTGGAATTAATGTAGGGTGCTCTATGAATAACTACAAAACTTCTTTTTGGTGATTACAATGTGTACCAAATAAGTCAAAACTTAGTATATCTTAGCTCTGTACTCGCCTGACCAAATGCCTGTCACCTCCTGGAGTGTAACTGTGGTACAAGAATTGTATTGCGGTGTGGCACAGTTGGAGTCCAGATCCACCACGCTGCCAGTGTAGAGCTCAAAGCGCTGATAGTTCGTGCTCAAGTTCCAGCCAGCGCTGCCTGTTGTCTCCTCAAATGAGCATTTCAGTACCGGCTCTGACTTGTAGCACACTGGAGTCTCAGGGGCCTCTATGGTGACCAATCCTGTGTGAAGAAGGCCATATAAATACACAGCAATACAATAATTATGATTAGAGTAGAAGGTATTGCTTTTCAATGACAACCCATTGGTTTGTGAGTCCCTACAGTCTTCTGTCTATCCAAGACTTCGGTACAGAGGTACCTCAAAGACTTCTGGTTCAGTGTCCATGATGCATACACACTCATCTCAGTGGATGATTGGTAATGATTTTAATATTAGGTCACTGACCAATGACAATTTATCTTAAAATCTGGGAAAAGGAAGTTAACCACCGGGAAGAAATGATGCCCAGTAAGTGATCAAAATACATAATGAAATGTGCAAAAGCATGAGAAAGTGAAAATGGAATTAAAGAATGGATAGAAATTGTGGCGGGGGATGAAACCAAAGCTCAGTAAATTCACATATTTATTGTGATCATAATATCAAAATGTTGTGAATTAACAGGTTAAGGTGCATGAGTTGAAATAGTGGTAATAAAAATGCTAACAGGGAAAACCACTAAACATGCTGGCACAGTAAACATTTTTGGTGTTACTTTAGAGATAGCACAATACATTTGGCAGTAATAGTAATTTTGCTCGACTTCAAAGCAGTGTTTAGGGTTTGGCAGCGGCATATTTTGAGTTCTGGTGAGTCTGGGCCAGTTCTATTGGCAATTGGGCTGGTTTTGTCACACAGACCTGGCAACCCTGATTGTGGGGTGTGATGAACATCCCAGCTTCTAAAGACCACTGAAGACTTTTAGTCTTGTTTACCGGCAAGTAGCAAAGAGAATGAAGACTAAAAGGTGCAGTGTATACAATTATGATTTAAAACATCAAAAAATTAAGTAACATTCTCAACAAAATGTCCGTAGACCTCTGAAATGACCACGCTAACTAGTAAGTCCCGACTTATCCTGGTAGGTCATACCTCTTTTACATCGAGAGCTGATAGTCACTGTAACGTCCATGCTGTCCCACAGACTGTATATGTGGACGTAGTAACCGTGACGTCAAAAAGTGTGTTTGTGGATTGCCATTTTGAAGCCCCCAGGTCGGCATTTTGGCCGTCGCCATCTTGGTTTTTATTGCCCCAACTCCCCACATGTTCAGCAAACATTCTGTTGCTGCTGACACACAGGTCCTACCAGGACCTCTGTCCCGCTGTGAATCCCTGGGGAGGGAATTTCCACGAGCCGAATGAAAGCTTTGCATAACTTTTTTGTCTATTATAAAATTACTGGATGGACAGTAGTACTAAACTATTACTCAATTCCTCATTTAATTTATGAAGGTGTGCAAGTCACACTGTCATCACTGTCCTGCAAATATTTCAGAATGAAAGCCTTGTGTGAGGTAATGTAGAGTTTTTGTCCATTGAAAAGTGCTACAGGGCTTTTATTTTGAAATATATCATTTATTTCAATATATCATCAGATCATATAGAGATCGAAACTGTAGTAATGTTGCTGGTATGATACCAATAAACCGTAAAAAGATCATTTTCATTGTCTATTTTTGATGTGAACCTCACTGCACGCAGAACAAATAGGCGAGACCTCGAAAGCCGGCACCCAGCTGAACTATGCCGTTCACGCGGGCCGTGAAGCCCAGGCGTTACCCTTTGATAGTAGTCTGTTGAGAGCATGCAATACAACAGCTAAGAAATAGTTACAGATTCAACATGATCTAAATGACTGAAGACAAACTTTCATACTGACCTATAGTGTCGACCTTAAGCACAGCTTCAAGACTGCTTTCCAGATCATTGATGATGGTTTGAAGTTTAGAAGTGGGACATTTGACGCTGACTGCTACCTCAAAGTCAACGATTTTCGTTTCCCGCCTTTAAGATTTGGATCAATGAAAGATCAGTGGTTAGTGAGAAAATCATTTTGTATTTGTGATAAAAGTATTATGAGATTTGAAACAGAAATGCTAACAACCAAGGTGTGACTCCTTTCAAAGTTTATGTGTAAATCCCATGCAGTAGGCCATGCTCATTTTTAAGGTGCGTTCAGACGGAATGAGAGGCATATTTTCACCATGCTTTATTCACACAAATCAAAAAGCTAATGTACCAACTGTACAGATGTTAGCTGTAGCAGCTTGTGTGAGTGTGGAGCATGTTTATGATGTAGAAATTGCCCCGGTCCAATTTCACTTGCATTCACTTTGCAAAACAAAATGAAATGGATCCAATCATGTCACCTCTCAAATTTACAGCATTCTGTTTGAACACACCTTTGGTTGTAGTTTTAAAGGAATAAGCAGGCTCTGATGTTACTGCTGCAGCCCTTGCTTTGCTTAACTGATATCTCCCGACAAGGTGCACAGGCTTTGACAAGAGGCCTGGGAAATTGAAGTCAGTGAACTTTTGGTCACATTTTGTTTTGAATAATGGAGATAGTTTAGAACCAAGCAGAGACAAACCAAACTCCCAACTCGTTGAATACGACAGCTTGGTCAGTGGCCCTTCAAACACTTCAAACTAGGATGCTCTACGGACCTCTCCAGCGTCAGTTTTGCACGTGACAAAAAATACAAGTAAGTAAGTAGAATAAAGTGTAACGTGAGGCGGCAGGACAGCTTAACTAAAGTATGCTCCAAAGTCAATGTGTAGTCTCCAGGTAATACGACGAGGGCATCAGTTCATCAGCCAGTGTAGTTCAAGAAGAGTTGGCTTTGGTTAAAAGGTGCACTGTGTTATGCCTAGCCACATGCTCCAAAGAAATGCTTACACTGTCTTAGCAAAATAAATTTTACTTGGTTAGGTTTAGGAAAGATCGCGCATTGGGTTAAAATAAGTATAGGTTTATTATGTAGTTAAGTGGGCTAAGTAATGTGCGCTGAGTATGATTGTCACATATGCCAAGTACGCTTGTTGCGCACGGTAAGCATGCTTGTAAAATACGGCAAGTACACTCTTGTTACGTACACTTGTTACATATGCTGATGAAGCTTGTTATGCATGCAAAGTAGCTTTTTACGTGTGCTTGTTAGGTACACTAAGTACACTTGTTACATACACTAAGTATGCTGGTACATACGCTAAGTACGCTTTCTACATACGCTAAGTATGTTTGTTACAAACGCTAAGTATGGTTGTTATATATCCTATGTACGCTACATAACTTTTCTAATTTTCCGTAACGTTACCTATTACTTGACTTAATTTGAGTCAACGTTTGGTTTCAACCAGGACATGAACCCTGGTCTCTTGGATAAAAGTCCTGGACTGCTGGGCCACTAACCAAGCTGCCGACTTTGTAGTGAGGACATGCTCAGACGACCACATCTTCTTTGCCTGAACTGCGCCTCTTGTGCATCCCTCAACGAGTTGTACTTCCCCCCCACCAAAAAAACTTTACCAATCTAATTCTATAGGTCAAGACTAGTTGAAGTTGCTCTTGCACCATTAATTTTAGTCAAACATGTTCTTTGATAAAAGAAAAAATATATATAGAAAGTACACTACAATACCTTGGACCGGTTACATTCAGGAACTCAAAGCCATTCAGTTCTTCAAAATTAGTTTGAAGCTTCTGAAAAGAGAGATCGTTGAGTCATTTATATTTGACTTATGTATTACAGTAAACATTTTCAAAAATTTATATGTAGATATTTGTGATCGGAGAGAGAGAGAGATGTACCTTGGTATCTTTGGTGTCATCCCAATTGTCTTCATTCATTGTCACCGATCCATTGATGTGAACTGTGTTGATTACAAAGATTTTCAGTTCAGATTTCAACAAGAATATTTGTCCATATGGAAAAACAGTAAAGAGTATTATGCAGGAACACTTTCAGATTACAGTGAGCCTTGTTCCATTTACAATGGACAACACTAATTTACAAAATACAGAAACTCGTCAACAACGTTTTGCCATAAACATGGCAAAATAGGAGGGACATTTGACAGGCATCAGGACTGTTACCTTTGACTTTGGCAACGCAGAGTGGCGTGATCTGGGACATGTTTTTTGTACAGGGAGTTTCCCGGCAACAGTTGTATTTGTAGCACACTGGGTTGCTCCAAGTGTAGCCGGTACTGCAGTTGCAATTGGATTCATCTCCAACAATCAGGCACTCTAGAATGAGAAGCACAGTTGTCATCAAAGTCCCCGAGAACTTAGTTTTCAAGTATTTCTCTTCAAGACTAAATACAAGAGAGAGAACGTGAAAATGCTCTAAGGCTCCAATCTGTTTTACCAGGACAGTGTGGTTTGATTACAGCCTTTTCTTTCTCCAAACTCGTTAAATATGGCAGCCTAGTTAATGGCCTGAAAGCATACTCTGCTTTATGGTTTATTTGACTCTACATGGACCATCATTTACTAAGTGAACATCATGCTGTATTGAAGAAGACTTGAAACTAGAGATTAAGACCATAAACTAATTTACTCAAATACTTCCATATAATCAGACTTATTTTTTCAACAAGATGATGTCGCCCCCTGCTGGTCAGTAGAGAGAATGCAAGTTTTAAGATAATTCTGCATTGGCTTCACTCGGCAGAACCGGAGGATGCCGCCTGGTAGAATGGGACACGCCGCCCCTGACACGTCTCAAACTGATGCTAGACAGGAACGCCTTTAGATATGGAGTACTCTTTGTCTCTCTCTACTGCTGAAAAGTGGATTTGCATTCTGAACTGTTTTGCATGCTGCCGACCACAATCGATAACTTACTATTACAGAAGAACTGATTGCATAAATAACCAGAGTAAGACGAAAGAGCTTCAGCGTGATACCTGCTACCAGTTCACTGTGTGAGACGGTCACTTGGTTGGAAGTTGTGCTGTCGGACACTGCAGTGTTCAAATTTAAAGCTGACAGGACAGTATTAGCCTCCAGAGTGACTTTACTTTCCACCATCAGCTCGGCAATGTAGACATCTTCAACTGCAACATAAGATATTGTATGTGTTATCTCTTTGTGTTTTGAGCAACTGGGTTGAATTATAAAGGGATGTCATGCATTGACTGAAGTTGTTGACACTGGAGAGAACCACTATAAACCAAGCATACAATATATTTAATGGGTAACTTTGGTATTTTTCAAAATGGACCCTATTTTACCATGTTTTTCTTTTAGTATTGAAGGAGAATGCTGTAACCGGCAACCGCTAAATGGGCTGCGAGAGCAATTTTGCAGCGTCAACGTCAATAAAAGTGTTTGTTTTAGCCACCTGACATGTTCAGATTGTAATTAGAAGAAGAACATTATGGAAAGAACCTTACAGAAAATTGAAAATTATTTTCTTTTTATACACACATCGTCAAAATCATCTAAATATTTAGCCATGACATTGAACATATTTTAGATATGTTCAATGTACTCCCAAAACTGCCCATGGCTCCCAGCGTTCGTCTTCCGGCAACACGTCACCTCGTGATATTTCAGAACGAGACTCCTCCTTGATTAAGACACTTTCTGTCATGTTGTAATTATGGAAGCTTTTAACAACAACCAGAGCCTGTCAGTGTCCAAAACAAACACTTGATGTAAATTAACGGTGCCAAATGGCACTGATATGATTACATTGCGTCTGCCGTCTGCAGCGCCCTCGCTCAATAATGGACCAAGTAACGAAATTGTTCCTATTTGTCAGTTAGGCACAAAAGCATTGGGAGATAGGGTCCAAGTTGAAAAATACAGAAGTTACCCTTTAACTACATGATGTATTGCCTAATTATGTCCACCATTGCACAACTATTTGTTCAATAAAAGAGAAATTGAAGAGGAAAAATAAAGATCTCAAAGTGCCTTAGCTTAGCTAGGTCGCTAACAATAGGTTAGCTAGTTCGGGACAGGAAGTTTGCATAACTGTCCACAAACCATTGCTCTTTTGTGGGAGTTTTCACTCTGACAGAGGAGGTTAAATAAATGCAGCAACAAAGCTAATAGGCTACAATAGCTAATTCCATTTCAGACTCTCAGGTTCCCGTCCCCTCAAAGGTCAGCACTATCAAGATGGTGAGACCATGTCTTTAATCCTGGCCCAGGTTTTTTGTTGTATTTTACCAAAGCATCCTATATGACAATGTAGCTAAGCGACTCACCTTCTGCAAGGACCTGCAATGACAAGAACAGGCAAACAACAGAATTAGCCTTGCTGTCGTAGGTGTAATTCACTCTTATGTCAAATTAAAATATATAAATTGTATCTTTTTAGTGCTGAATAAACATAGCCTAACATTTTTGCAATTTCAATTTTTTTGTCAATAAATAAAAAGTTTATAGACATGCAACTAATTTATGTGCATTGAAATAGAGTATTAGAATATAACAATTTCAATAAATTAGAAATTTAAACAAGGTTAACTTTCCAAAAAAATACAACACGTGACTGAGGAGTATCTTTACCTGAAAGTAGATGCGCACAGCTCCAATCAGAAACATAAACACTCTGGAACACATTCTGGAGTTATTCTGGTGTAAAGAAAAAACTGTCATTAGCAGCAATTAAGGAACCAATTGACTGAAAATGCACACCCCCACAAATGCACATGCACATATTGTATATAGATGCACTTATATAAATTAACACTCTTCTAAACAAGCAATCTACTAAAGTCATGAAAAATGTTCAGGACTTGTTACGTCGCGCAGTGGGAGATATCTGTACACTGACATTTGATTGGGATATTCATGGTCCTCAGAGGATAAATTCTAACAATTTTGCTGATCCCCTGATCTTTTGTAAAATTTTTCAGGCGATTCTCACACAGCATTTGTAGCTATACCCACAAAAATGAATGCCCTGTAATATTTAGATATCCCGAGAAAATCAATTTGTATGTAACCCACATAGTCAGGAACAAGGATGTATAAAGACAATTTTCATACTTCAGTAACGGCACTTTCGTAGGTATTTTATCCCTGACCATGAACTTTTCCTAAAGATAATCAAGTGGTTTTATTACCTAAACCTGCATAAGTATTTTCGACGAAAATGACACGTGTAGCTGGACTTTTGTAGGGAAACGCACAAAAAATGAGGAGTGACTTTTTTGCAAGATATCATAAGAACCGTTGTCGGAGGGTAAGTTGAATTTTCCCCATCCAACACTGAGGTGTATCACAAGCATGGGTGTATTGGAGGGTAAATGTGTACAAATGTTTTTTATCCACCTCTAAAAACTGAGAAATGGTTCATGCACTCTCTCTTAACGGAAGCAGAGAGCAGCCATTAAGCCTGCCCTCTCTTTTGCGAAGCAAATATGAAAACAAATGAACCCTCCTCTGCACTGAAGCAAATAATAGCATTTGCATATTGCTAATTCCAAGGTCAGGACGGACAATAGAGAGGTTTCAGGCACAAAAGACAATGATGTAAGTTGAACGCAAACCTAAAAAAAAGCCCAACATTGCCAACTCTTTTCCAGTGAAAGTAGCTAGCAGCACTAGCTCCAAAAGTCGCAAAATCTAGGCTTAATCTAGTCAGCAAATTTCAATTATCATAATGAGCTTAAAAAACAAACACGGCTATTATTAGTACCCACAGCTGTCAAGCTACCAGCTTGTAGCAATGAGGCAGGCAGGCAGATAGACAGGAATTCATTTGGTCCGGCCGAATAAAATGATTGGACGGACTTTTTACAGTCCTGCGACAGCCATAGATGCTGGAATTTTTTTTTTTGTCAGAACATTTGATTCATTCAGTGCTGTCAGGATGTAATGAGAATTTCCACAAAAATATCCAACATGTTTTTGAAGATTACCTACCCTTACTTTAACTGCAGTGTTGCGAGATAATCGTCATTTTTGTCATTGTTAGTATAAAAGTATTGATTACAGCAGGTTTGAGTGTAAGTTCTACACTTGATGATATAACTGTTGCTCCCCAGTGATCTAGTCTTCTCATGTGTTGGGTATTTGTGTCAGGCAGTTAACATTTTCAATCATGTTCATTTGGGAAATACACATTTTACTGAGTGTGTAAATACAACTGTAATTGTTTTAGGTTGGTCCAGAAAAATACAAATACTGAATTTAAAAAGCCATAAGAATAAAATATAGCTTGAACAAACTACACATACACTTTGCAAAGCAAGCTGTTCCTTTCTTTTCACACAGTATCTAATTTAAAAGAATCTTTCAGTCATATTTATTTGTGTACATTTGAGTCTGAAATTGGTGCAACTACACTTTGCAGTCATTTAGCAGACACTTTTATCCAAAGCAACTTACAATTCAGATTCTATCACATTCATACACAGTAGGCACAGCTATGGGAGCAATTTTGGTGTTAAGTGTCTTGCTCAAGGACACATCGACATGCGACTAGCGGAGTCGAAGCCGGGGATTGAACCACCGATCCTCTGATTGAAGGACGGCCCTGCTCTCCACTTAGCCACAGTCGCCTACACTGCTGTAACATATTGTATCCTAAAACTTTCATGACACTCTCATATGCATCAAGTATATATACCAAGCACATATTTTTGCTTGCCGAACATGTTTGCATCACTTTGAATTTACAGTGCACAGTGTGGCCAGAGGCCTGTCGCTGTGGTACAGGTCATGCCCACCTCATTGGGTTAGGACATAGCTTCCTTGTCGCCATCATTACACTGTGGTTATATAACACTGGACCACATGCTGGCCCACAATGGCTGCTTTGTTAGGCAAACCTGTACAGTCCATTGCAATTCAATTGGACAGCTCTGCAATAAGTTCTACCATTTCAAAGTTCATGTTTTTGTTGAAATTGTTGCAAAAGGTCTAAATTCAATCATACGTTTATATTTGAATGTTGGTGTTGTACGCTATATTAACATGTAAACGCCACTCATTATAATGTAGTCCAGTACAACGACACCACTAACCACAACCTCAGTGCTGAAACATAAAAAAAGAAGAAAAAAAAGATTTGAAGGCACAATAAAAGTTGACTATATGACAGAACTGTCGGGTTGCATTACACTGTACAGGTGTTATTACTTCTAAGGCCTATTAAAGTGGCCATCTATATAGAATAGCATGCTGATGTGTCTATTAATAAAGAAAACACACCTACAGTATATATACATAAATGCATACATTGACTAACCTACATAAAGTACATTTTAGTGTACAAAACTATTGAGAGTGTTTTAACTTTTCATCCCCTCCTTTCTGGTACGGTCACCTCAACTGTAGATGAAAGAATAAACTCTCAGGGAATGTGTCAATGGCAATAAAAATAGTTGGCAAACCCTAAAAGCCCTTGACTCAACTTTTTCCAGAAAGGATGACGAACAAAACGAGGAGTATCCAGGCCGATAGCTCCCATCCTCTTTTCAGCCAGTTTGAGCCAAGTTGTTCATCCCAAGTGCCATGACTTTACTAAACTCACCAAATTGACTGAGTAGATCTAAGCCACAGACATGAACTGTTCTAATGTGTAACATTGGTTGTTATCAACTTTTATGTTTGTATATTGTTTCCTGCGAGCCAAAGATAAATGCCTACCCTGGTGGACAAAAAAGATTTATTGGAATATAAGAGTTGGACACAATAACAGTGACACCTCGATGTCTTTACCATTGTAATAATTATAAGATACCATAACAATAATGATACAGTAGAGACTGATTACGGTTGCAGTACTCAACTGTTCAAGGAGCTCGGGATGAAATCTTTCCTATACAAATAATGTTTAAATAATTTGCTTATAGTGTTCATGTTAGGTCTCCTCATACAGCTGGTGCTGCGTGCACAATGAAATCATGACGGGTGAAGAAAAGTCCTTTTCTCTCAATGAAAAACATTTCTTGAAGCTTAAGACAAACTGCCAAAAAAAAGAGCCAACGACATGCAGCGGGGAAACTTAGTGTTTCCCGGGCTACGTGCGACTTGTGTCGCCAACTGCGTACGGGCGGGTTGCACCCGTGGTTGTTGCTGTGTTTGAACACGGATACAACATATTTTGAAACTGTTGATAAAATTCACTTTACTTTACATTTACTTCATTTTCAGTAAAAAATATGCGAATGTCAATTAGACGATAATCTGTATGAGAAATAAATCCAATTTAAATCAAGCATAATAATCCGCTCATAGTGATACATTTGAGGTTGAGAGGTTGGAAGCTTACAATGTCCATCTTTGTTTAGATTGTTGTGTTGTGTTTAGATGGTGGCTTTGTGTTTTAAACGTTATTTTGATTTGCACATTAACCATAAACACGGTTTTCAACAAAAACTAAACATGTGTCGCAAACTTAAAATTCCAATCTCAGAATTTTTTGCATTTCTTAAAAAAAATCTGCAGGGCATTCATCAGTCAGCACATTGTTCGCGGAAGGACTCAGTTAATCTGCTTCCACTCAGTATGCGCTTTACCAGGGAGAGACAACTATTTTCTATTTCCCCCAATTAAAGTCAGAGCAAATCACCCATTCACTTACTTGAGATTCTCCTCGGCAGTCACTTATTCATGTACGTAGAGAAAAGTCCATGCAGTCCACCTCAATGATATCAAAAATATAGGTGTAAAAATGTCTGTTGGCTCTCTTTTCGTTGGCCTGTGAAAGAGTAGATTTCCTGTTATACTGGTTGAACTGTTCCTTATTATTTATTGCATTTATAGCATGTGCATTTTTATAGTGAATGGTAAAGCATTTCATTTGCAACAACAAGAAGAGCTGCCAGATTTATAAAAAGACAGCCCGTTTAGACTTGATTACATTAATAAAAACACATGAATACATTTATAAAAAGCTCTTACCTTTGCTTTACACCCAGTTTCGTCAGGTACGCATCAGAATTAGAGTCAAAGTGAGTGAGTACATCTGTGAGAAAGACTGGGTTAGGTGTGTGTGTTGGGGCGGAGGTGCTGGTATGGTACACACTTATGTTTTGACTTTGTGCTGGGAGGCCATTTGCATTGATGACATGTCTCCATGTCAACTGGACTGGTGAGGATAAACACACAGCCTTTCAGCTTTCCATGGACATTTGTCTGCCAAATCAAGCAACCTCCTTCAGGACGTCACAGAGCCATCTGTCTCGTGAAACCAGGAGAGTTTGCGCCCTCTCTTTGAGTCAGCCGGTCTTTTGAAACCTGAAGATCTTTGATTGTGATAAAGC